AGGATGGTAGAGGAAGCTTCATAGAGGGGATTTCAGGTGTTTGAGGGTTTTCTTTAAGGACCTGGAATGTAATTCTCTTTTGTAGCAAATGGGGCCTTCAAGTTGTGGCCCATTCATGGACAAGACAGTTGAGAAGTCTGTATTTAGAAGTACAGGCTTCATCGACTCAATAGCAAGATGCATAATAAAAGTTCCCTACGTGATCCTCAGGTGCCACCGGAGATAGAACCACGGAAGCTCCTTTGCTCCATTTAAAGCCTTAAATGGATCTTCACTGTTTATCTTACAAGACTCTGCAGAATTTGCTTCTTTCTTAATTTTCTTTCGTGCTCCAGCCTGAGTCCTCATCACTCGAGATTTCTTATTGAACTGAACGATTACAGAACCAAACCAGGGCATTGCTAATAAATCTGCCTCTCAAAATTGGGGAATCCCAGACCCTGAAATGGTTCAAGCAGGCACTAAAAAATCATCTAAGGCAGGCGTGGTGGTGTGCACCTGTAGTTCTGGCTACTTGGGAGGCTGAGGCAAAAGGATCACCTGAGCTCAGGCTGCAGTGAGCTTGGATTGTACCACTACACTCCAGCCTGGGCAGCAGAGCGAGACCCTGTCTTAATAATAATAATAATAATAATAATAATAATAATTATCTGCTAGAAATGTGTGGAAGACACAGGGACTGGATTAGACGATATTAGAGTTCCTTCCACTTTTCAATAAACTCTGGTGCAGTGAAGAGTCTGGTCGGCGTCATTTTTTAGTCTTTCAGAATGAACATTTTTTAGTCCCTGCAATGTTCTGTGTTAATGGTATTTGTTGTAGGGGAGCTTCTATCTCGGCTGAGGTTTAAACTCCTGTGGTCTTCTGGAAAGATAAGAGGTTGGAGACATGTGACCTTGGAGGGCTGTGGCAACACACTTCCTTCATGCCTCCTCTGCCTCTTGGAGGTTCCAGTACCTTCCCTGGTCCAGGTGGGGAGCAAGGAGTAGAAGTGTATCCCTCGTCCCAACACACGTGCAGTGTCTCTGTGAACTTCTGGAAGAAGTACACATTCCCTTTTTCGTTTACGCGCAAGCACTCAATAGTATATGTTGGTAGTCATAGTAATCCCCGGTTGCTTCACAAAACAAGCAAATTCTTGAGTAAAACTTACATCAGGGGCTCCAAACAACTGTCATGTCTCAGACACTTCAGAGCCAGCTTGCTCTTTGGTAGCCAATGACCTTTCAGTGTGAGCTGGCTCCTCCGTGTCACCGGAGGAGATCCGGCCGCTTTCCCAGCATGCACAGGGGTGGCTCCAGACAGCTGCTGCGTTTGCTGAACTGTTTGATGTCATCTCTCTATTTTAGTCCATGGACTGTATCTGAGAAAAGAGAAAAACAAAACAAAACAATGGCAAGGTCCAAATGTAAACATGATATAGCAATGAAAATGGCTTGTTGGCTTAAATATTGGGAATGCCCCATAGTCTCCAGGCCTTCAAAGTTCTAGATTAGTTTAGCATGGACGGCCCTGAGGTCTAGCCTGGCTCAGTTGGAGACGCTGTCTGGGCTGCTGACAAGGAGGAGACTAGGGAAGACAGAGCGATGGATAACAGAATGGTCCCATAGAGTAATCAATTGTCCAGACCGTCTTCAGAGAAGGAATCAAAGACCTTGGAACATGGTGATGTGGTGTGGTCGGAAGGAACCTGGAGCACATCCTAGCTCTGGTTCTGTGTTGGCCAAGACATTGTATCTCCAGGTTCAGTTCATCTCAGTTTGCCCATCTGTCTGATGGGAGGATAGACTTCATTCTATGGTCCCAAAGGCCTTTTCTAGCCTCTGATTCTAAGAGCTTCAGTAACTTTTGCAAAGTTAAACAGAGACCAAAACCTACCCAGGAGATGCTGGCTTCAGCCACAGATAGGACTTACAAATTTTTTTCAATGTCCTCTGTAAAGTTTATATAAATTTTGCCACTCCCTGAATCTTCTCCAAATGCCTTCAATGTTAGCTAATAGCACCTCAGACTATTTCTACTTCAAAGAAGTTTAGAAAGATGGTAAAGTTTCATGATTTCTACCCATAGGAGCAGAAGGAGTTTGAAAAGTTGAAATAATTATCCAAACTTTAAAACTGCGAGTCCAGCTCTTGTCTATCATTTCCATTGATAGCAAAACCAAATATGTGTAGAATAGTCACAAGTGAGGAACTTGCTGTGCCAGGAACTTCATTAAAAACAAAATCAGTCCTAGCCCTGACAGGCTCATGCTGTTATTTTGGAGGTAAATTTTCAACAACAAGGAAAAACACACACAGTGACAATGAGCTCATGACGCTCTGTGGAGGCGGAGGGCCGAGACAGGGGCCTGGAAGGAGGTAGCACCCGGGCGGTGAAGAGGAGCTAAAGATACACCAAACTGGGACAATGTGATGAGCAAGGCACAGAGGTACCACACTGGGAGACAACAGCGCATGCGCGTCTGTATGGGACAGGACAGACGAAAGCGAGTGCACCGCAGAGTCAGCTGGAAGGGGTTCGAAGTTTCCTCAGACATTGCTAGTTGCCTACCCCAATACCCTTTTCCCCATTCCTCCTTAGAAACCCAACCATGATTTTTACCTGAGCTTCTTGCTGTTCAGAATTAAAGATGACATTTTCCAACCTCCTTTGCAGTTAAGTTTGACCACATGGTTGAGTTTTAGCCAATGAGATATAAGCATGTTTGGGGGTTCGGGGTGGCCTGGGAAAGGGCATGTCCATTTTCCCCACTTTCTTCCTTCTATTTGAAATGCAGAGCCTGTGGCTGGAGTTCTAGCGGCCATCTTGAACTAGGAGGTGATTTGAGACTGGGTTATCACATGTTGAAGTTTATAGAGGAGAAAAGGTAGAGACTGGGTCATTAATAACGCTTACAAGTAGCCTGAGATGCCTATCTTCAGACTTGCTTTACGTAAGAGAGAATTTTAAGACACGGTTCTTCAGCATTTTTCTGTTATATGCATCCAGATTGTGGTAGGCCTAAAATTTCAGGATAAATTGTTTAAATTTAATCCTTTAGAGACTAAGATCCTTTAGAGACTAATCCTTTAGAGACTAAGAGACTACAAATTTTTAATTAATATATCAATTATATTTTGGGCCTCTATTATGTGTCAGACACTGTGATAGATGCTGGAGGGACACTTAGCTAACTTTCTGAAGACCACAATACAAAGATGTTTTCGTGGCTCATCTAAATTAAAGTACAAACTTCCTTTATTTAGTAGGACATCCATTTCACTTTGGCTCATCACACACCATTAGAAAAACAGCCTTTACTTTGCATTCATGGCCCAAGAGCACCTGGAATATATCAAGTTCATGAGAGTAGTTGGCTGAGTAGGGGAATGGTGGAGCATTTTAAGGGAAAACAATGTCTCTAACGCTCGCTTAAAAACTACACTGGAAGCAAATATAACCACTTCCCCCATATTCCCCCCACCACACATACACTCTGACTCAAAGGTAGGGTCACTGCCCCAAAGCTGATTTCTAACAAGCTCTCAGGTGAGGCTGAGGCTATTGGCCCATTGACCACACTTTGAGTAGCAAGAGTAGGAAATGTTCCCAATCTCAGGAAATGTTCTTATTCAGCTTCTCATGAGTCCTGTGTCTGCATGGATAACACCTCATGCACAAGAAGAAAAACACTAATGACCCTGGAATGTTTGTGCTATTCTGGTGCTAAGAACGTGGCGAATTCAGAATGGAGAGCCCATCATACTCCTGAGAGCTCTATTTCCTGCAGTAATTTCTAACAAAGACCATGATGAAGGCGGCGCTAATGACGTTTGTAACAATAACACTAGCTAGCCTCTTTTGTTAGTATTTACTGTGTGTCAGACGCTATGCCAAGAACATTCCATGCATGATTTCATTTAATGCTAACAGTAACTCTGTACAGCAGGTACTATTCTAATCTCCCAGTTTCACATGAGGAAACTGAGGCTCAGAGAAGCTAAGTACCTTTCCCAGTCACACAGCAGCAGGCTCACAAGGGAATGGCAAGTGTTTCCTTGGTCATCTAAGATTAGCCAGTCCTCCCTACAGCCCGCAGACAGGCGTAGGCTGAGTCAAGGTGCTGAGCAGAGAGTTCCAGGCCAATGCAAGGATTTACCTGGCTATTTCAGGAAAGGGAACATCAGTTGTAACTCCCTGGGTTTTGAGGACATTTTGACAGTGCCCTTCAATCATACTACCTGAAGTGATGTGCTTTTTAAATATATCACAGGGACAGAGATAACATGTGAGCAATATATGTAAGTTATCTTTGAAAGGCAAATGTAAACTCCCTGTATACAAGTTTATTTTCTTCAAAATTTAAAGTGAGTACATTTGGGCTATGGAGATCAAAGTTGTCTTGACAAACCATGAATCACAGTGACTTAAGGAAATGATGGTTCAGCAATAAGGATTCAACACAGGATGGCAGTGAGTGAACTACTGCAAGAAGTCTTAGAGTCTAGTAGCTGGAAGGACCATACGGGAGGGGCTGAGGTCCCCCCAGCACTCCTAGCCAGAGGCTGTGCCATCGTCCTCTGTGCCCTTTGACCTACTGCAACTACTGCCTCACCACCCCGGCTGCTCCCTTTCCACATGGCTGTAGTTGTTGGGAAGTCTCTCTTTATGTTAGCTTGTCTGTGACTCCCCTTGTCCCCTGTTGAGCCTCATTCTGCCCTTTGGAGCAGCTCAGGTCCCATCTAATCTGTCCTCCATGTGACAATAACATACATTGTTTCCAAGTTCCAACTCCAAGGTTGCCTACTTCTGACCAAGAAATAAAATTCTGTGTGTGTATGTACGTGTGCAGTGCACGTGTTGGGGAAAGGAAGCTGAAAACACAAAGTCAAGTGAACTACTCAAGGACTAGCCATTTCCTCTGGGGCTTGAGCATGCCTATGTAAGCCCACTCTTGCTAAATACCAGCTGGGCTTTCATTAATTTTTTTTTTTTTAATGACAGGGTCTCACTATGTTGCCTAGGCTGGACTTGAACTCCTGCTCTCAAGCAATCCTCCTGCCTCAGCCTCCCAAGTAGCTGAGACTACAGGCACTGGCTCATTCATTGTAAAGGCAGTTTTGCCCAGGGATCTCCAGCTGGAGCATCCCACTGCTGTCTGTTGCCGGTGAGTTACCGTGTGAGGGAGGTCGGGAGGGAGTCCTGGGAAGGTGAGTGCCTTCGGGTTTATCTCAGTCCACGGAATCCTCAAAGGGCAGGTGTGCAGATGAGCTATCATTCCAGAAATTTCCCTCCTGTGCCCAAACACTCCTGTTAGCTCCCAATGCAGATACCTTAAGCTCTGAATGAAAGGTAGGGCTGCTGCCCCAAAGCTGTTGAGTGACAACTGAGTGGCTCGTTAAGAATCTGAAAGACTGCAGGTCACTGCAGGCCCAGAGGCATCCACGACACATGGGGGCACCCAGACTGTCTAATGAGGGGTGCAGCAGTGCATTTAGGAGAAATGGCTCCGAGTCAGCACCACAGCTTATCGGTGGAACTACCTTAGCAAAGTTCCTTACATTCTCTGCTTCTCTGCAACCCAGTGTCTTTACTTGTCAAATTAGGGTAAGATACCTGCCTTGCAGGCTTTAGCACATGATGCTTGCTCAGTAGCTCTTAAATTCCTTCTCTTTCTTGGCTCAAACTTTGAATGTTGAGGCAGGAAACCACTTACCAAATATCATTTACTTGAGATTTCCCTTTGTGGTTCATTGCAAGCAAAAGGAGGTGAAAGAGAAAGAGAGAGCAAGAGCCCATGAATAAGTGCTAAAGGCTGCTGGAGTTGGGGGCAGGGCTGGGGTGGACACTGGTCTGGGAGTCAGAACCCCTGGACTTCCCAGCCCTGCGGTGTCCACTGGCTAATGTTAGCACGTGGCCTTGGGGCAGCCACTTTTCCTTCTGAGCCTCATTTTCCCCATTTCTAAAATGAACACCATAACCAGGAAGCAATTTCTAGTGTGTTATGCCACTCAACACTTTCGACCCTTGTTCTCACTCATTCAAGCCTATTACATTTCCTTCACATGCCAAGAACTATTTCACAGCGCAGAACAAGCCCCGAGGTCCCTGCTCCCAGGTGCCTGTGTCTCGGGGTGGAGGACAGACCCTAGACCAATAGACAAACCCGTGGCAGAAGGTCAGAGAGTGCTGAGCACCAGGAAGGGTGATGAGGCAGGGTGCCAGGGTGGAGAGCGACGGGTGGCGGGCGCTGGCTTGCACACGAGGCCGGGAGCCCGGGGATCTTTGGGGAAAGAACGTTCTGGGCAGGACACAACAGGTCTGAAGCTTGGAGCTCCCAGCAAGAAGGCCAAGGGGGCTAGAGCAAAGTCACTGGCGGGGGTGGGGGAGGGCAGGAAGGGGGCCGAGGGCTGTAGTTTTATTTCGGTTCTCAGACCTGTATTCCAGTTCAGGTGTGACAGGTAGAAAATGGCTTCTCCTCTGTCCTTCCACTCTCCAGTGGCGGTGGGTGGGGTGGTGGGTGGGTGGAGGGTTGGGGGTGGAGGTGGGGTGAGGGTATGGGTTGGGGTTTCGACCACTGGAGGCAGAGGTTGGTTTGGGGAGGAGGGAGGGTCAAGAGGTCACCGTGGGGCCCCTTGGAGACCATGTGAAGCTGATGACAGAGGAAGGAGGCCGGGCAGGAAGCACATTCCTCGTTCAGTGTGTATTTCCACACTCTGAGTTCACTGTTTAGAGTGAGGCGATAAGGACTGTTTCCCCCCACTTTTCCCTTCTTTTCCCTCGTCTTTGCTTCTGGATGGAGTTAGAACACACCGAGAGTTGATCCCAATGCCTATGATTTGTCTCTCAGCTAACTTTTTAAATATTTGCAAAGCTGAATAATGATGTGTTGTGCAGAAATTATTCCCATATTATATTTCAAAGTCATTCGTTCCAAAAAAACCTTGTGGAAAGCAAAGAAGATGAAAAAGTCACTACTTTCCCGGCCTCAGGTCTCTCCCTCCGTGGTGGTGAGGCACAGGTGCAAGTGGACGTCTGCTTTCCAGAGGGCAAGTCCAAATATTGAAAAACAAATAAAAGAAGTAATAAAATGATACAGATTAATGAGAAAATAAAAGAGTAAGCCTGTGGCTGGATTAATGAATCTAAAGAAAGCAAAGGGCGAACACAAATGATGACCGTTGTTGGCTGCCTAAACTTGGGCCATGTTGAAAGACTTAGATTAGCTGCCTTTTAAAGTTTTGTCTCTTCTCCCAGCTCACCGTCCCCAGCAGCCCAGAGAGAAGGGACAGTCCCAGAGGGTGGGGGGCAGGAGGGAAATGTGGGCAGAGCGAAGCCCAGGCCCTCAAGACTTGGATCTGAATGTACTCTTGGCAAGTTTCGGAGGCCTCCTGGGCCACTCCTGAAAATTCTGCCAAAGACACCGCCTGGTCCTCGGAAGTACAGCAATACCCTTTCCAGCATTTATTGATGCACATAGATGCCAGTGCTGGACTCAAAAGCTTCCAAAAGCATGGTCAGGGCCAGCAGGGCCTGGCCTGGTGGTGTTGCTGACTGCCTCATGCCAATCTTCTCCCATCTCTCCCGTCCAGCCTCCTTGGGTCCTCTTTTACTTGCATAGCACATTCCTCCCTCGGGCCTGTTGCATTTCCTGTTTCCTCTGCCAAGAATGGTCTTCCTCAGACACTCGCGGGGCTCCCACTTAGGGCCATGCCCCAGCGTCACCTTGTCAGTCTCCCTGGCTCTCCCAAACAGCGTGTCCCTGTCCTGTTAGAATCCTTATGTGTTCGTGTGCTCACGTCTGTCTCCTAGGGATGGGAGTTTGTCTGTTTTAGTCATTATCCTATCCTTGGCACTGCAAATGGTTGGAAGCACATAGTTGGCACCTGATAAATATTTGCTGGAAAAAATACTTTGATTTCTGGGGCAGAGTCACACTTGCTGGTCTACCCGATGTCTCCAGCACAAGCTTGGTTCACATGCCTGTGGTTATCATCTGCACTGATTGTATCTCCAGGCTGTGTGTGTGTACATCTGTGTGTGCATCATGCATGCATTTGCATGTCGACAATAGCTTAATAAAAGCACTACTTTTAGTTGATTTTTGAAAAGTGCAAAATAGCCATGACTGCAAGGTTGGGAGCCCATTCATTCAGCAAATAGAATCTTGAGACCTTCAGCCTTGCAGGTTGTCCCTAGCGCGCTCAGGGAGGCAGGTTGGCCTGCCTCTGTGCAGCTCTGAGGACAGGTGTCAAAGAAGGACTTCACTTGAGCTGGTGGTGACGGGAACAATAACACATGGACCCGGATCCCATATCTGCCACGCAGCGGTGGAGCCCTCTGTGGCTCTAGCCACATGGGGTTGAGGCATCGCTTGATTGCTCCTGTGTTTGGTTTCCCTGTTTACCTGAAACAGGCAAAGGTCACGAAGAGAACGCTGAGTTCTCATCACTTGGTTTCCTCTTCCTTCCCCAGGAGACATAGCCCGTTCTGTGTAGAACACCCACAAGGCAGCAGCAAGAGGACAGCCGCCACCTGTAAGCCATTTGCACAGCTTTTGTTGACTAGGATTTTTGGGTCTGGCCTGCTTTCATAAGGGGTGACATCTGTCAGCATCTGCTAATCCAAAATTCACCAAACACATATATTTTTTCTTTTTCTTTTTGTTTCTTTTGGCATATTATGGGGTACAGATTTTAAGGTTTCAATAAATGCTCTTCCCCCCCTCCCCCCACAAGTCTGAGTTTCCAGCATGACCATCCCCCAGATGGTGTACATCTCACTCATTATATATGTATATACCCGCCCCCCGCCCCCCTCCCACCTGCCCAATACCCTATTACTGTAGTACCTATGTGTCCACTTAGGTGCTGCTCAGTTAATACCAGTTTGCTGGTGAGTATATGTGGTGCTTGTTTTTCCATTCTTGAGATACAAAACACATATATTTTGAATCTTTAAGGGCATTCAGTGACTACTGAGTACTGGCTATAATGCATTTACACTTTTGAAAAATAAAATTCTGCCTTGTTTTCAAGGGAAAAATCCCAGTATCTAAACAGAAGGTGGAAAACAGAGTAATTCTGCAGTACCCTTCCACTGGAGTAACCCCGAGGGAACTCCTTACAACCATCGGGGTTCCAAAGACCATGGTCAGAAAACCTCCGGAGAAGATTATTTTTAAATGTTAAAAAACAGTGTCCATATCAGGTCTATATCTATACCTGATTTTAAGTAACATGCTCACAATTTAAACCACAATGTGGTTAACCCTCTGGCAAGCTACTGAGATGCACATTGCTTGGCAGGTAGATAGGCCTGGGTGTCATTTCAGAGAAAGGAAAGCCCCAAAGTCACCACATGCCATATAGGAAACACCTGTGTACAAAAGTGTGCATGTAGATGGGTCAGAGTTCTCCAGATTTTTTTGGCATCATATAGATCGAACCACACCAGATGATGAACATTCTTACCATCGAACTTGGGTATGTTTGCTGTAGAGTGATCAGTTTAGAAGTGGCAGGATGCATTTCACTTTCTGGAGAGTGATTTAAAGGTAGCTGCCCTGAGCACTCAGATTTTCTGGATCCTTTCTCATGCAAAATGGGAAACAGATGGTGAGCACATAGTCATTCTCCTTCCCATATGATCCTCTCAGCAGCTGTCTGGGGCTGACTGGCTGGTGCCAATGCTCCAGTCACGATGGTTCTCTGTTAGAAATAACTCAATTTGCATCTAAGGATAAATAACAAAATACAACTTTTTCTAGTGAGTCATAAATTGGATATCTTTGAAGTTGTACATTTTGAAGAATTCTAAATGTCCAATACTTTCTGAAAACATATAAACCTTAATGAGTTGATTTGTGTTTTACTATTCCTTTTCCCTTTGTTATATATGTCATTTTGCCATAACTAACATGTTTACTGATAACGATTATTTTCAATCAAATGGTTGCATGTGTGGTAATAGTTGCATTGGCCTAATTGTAAAGATCATAATATATCAAATCAAATGGTATTCACAACAATACGAGAAGTTTATACACATGCTCCAAATGTGTGTATGTATGTATGTGTAGGGTATAGAGAAGGTGAAACACTAGATTATAGCTTTTGTCACCCAGAATATGCACTTAACACTAAAGTGGCACTCATTTTTAATCACAAAGAGTTGTTTCCCAGTCAATTATATATAACTTACTTTTTAAAAACATCCAAAAAAGGGGCAGTGCATGCCTGCAGCCCCTACTGCTCTAGAGGCTGAGGTGGGAGGATTGCTGGAGGCCAGCCTGGGTGACGTGGCGAGATCTTGACTCTAAAAAAGACCCAAAAGCTCAAGGCTGCTCAGAGGCAAGGGGCAGATCTGAGGCTAAGGCCGTGTGACCAGCTCAGTGTCTCAGGTTCTACAATGTGCTCCAGGCCCATTTGTTGCTGCCCTGGTTTCTCACATCTGGCACCTTTTGTATACCTGTTAAATTGGGAATTAGTTCAGCATTCAAGGGCTGGAGTCTAGAGGTGGGCAGACAGCCAAGGTGAATCCCAGAGGCTCTTTGAGATCCATTCACACATTCAGACATGCATTTATTGAACAACTACTATATGCTGAGTTACATAATACAATGCAGAGGACCCTGTTCTAATGGGTGCTTGGACCAGCTAACAGAGGCTGTGAAAACAAGGATAAAACACTCTGTAGTTTCCCAGGGCTGCTGTAACAAAAGTGCCACAAATGGGGTCACTTATAGCAATAGAAGTTTATTGTCTCACAGCTCTGGAGGCTAAAAGTCTGACACTAAGGAGCTGGCAGGGCCAGGCTCCCTCTGAAACCTGTAGGGGAGAATCCTTCCTGCCTCATCTAGCCTGCGGTATTTGCAGGCAATCCTTGGAGTTCCTTGGCTTGTAGATGCATCACTCTAAGCTCTGCCTCCAATGTCACATCCCTGTCTGCTCTTCAGCTGGCATATTCTTCCCTCTGTGTCTCTCCCTTTCCTACAAGGACACCAGTCATATTAGATCAAGGACTGGCACTACTTGAGTATGCCCTTATCTTAGCTAATTACATCTTCAGCGACCCTATTTCCAAATAAGGTCACATTCTGAGATCCTGGAGGTTGGCACTTCAACATATCTTTGGGGATGGGGGCTGCACAGTTCGACCCCTAGCACCCTGATGTCCAGTTTGTAAAACTAACAAAGTTTCAGAAGACTCAGTTCCTGGCCTGCTCCACTTCCTCTTTGAAGTGTCCTGGCTTACTAAAAAATGTTTAAAAAAATGCTGTAGCAGGGTTAGCAAGATTGTAAACATTGTGGGACACTTTACATGTTTAGAATGAACAGATTAATTTATAGTACAAAAATGGAGTGCAATACAATTATCTTCTTCACAAGGTAATTATTAATACAGAATTGACTTTGAAAACATTAATTTACAGTGTACCCTTGGAAGTGAGATCCAAGGTTTAAATTCCCTGATGAATGGCGATTTACAGTAATCTTGTCGGTTTACCTTGGGCAGTGACTGTGGACCTCATTAGCCATGACTTCAAACACCTGCACTTGAGGGCCTATGTGACAATGAGGCTGGGCCATGGGGCTCCCCACAGTGGCAGGGGCTGCCACTCAGAAAGAAGCCATTGTTTTGGAAATGTGCCCAGTTCCTTCCCTGCTACCTGCTGAGGCAGACACACTGCCTTTGCTCTAGCTGCTTTCCTCACACCGGCATGCTCCTGACTCACAGCAGTGTCCCGCTGTCGCCTGCCCTCTCCTCATCCGCATCCTGCCTGCCCTTTGCCAGAGGGTGGATGTGCTGCTGTCCAGCCCGCAGGTGGCTGCTATTTACAGCAGTGAGCTCTGCGGACAACACTGTGCTTACCCCAGGCCCTAAGCCTCTTTGCTCTTGTCCAGTGACCCAGAGATGGCTCAGGGCTCAAAACAATTTTCCAAGTGCTGCAAGTGTTCTCCTGGGGCATTCTGATGGCGCCTATAATATATTCTCCATGTTTTGAGGGAGAGGGATTGCTGTGCTTGGCCCCATTGCTCTTGCCCCAGAGAAACGATAATAATCAACATGTGTCTTAGCAATTCTCTCATTTAGTCTGCACAAAACATTGTGAGGTAGGTACAAATATCATCCTCGCTTTACAGACAAGGAATCCCAGGCCCAAAGCAGGCAGGTTCTTTGCCTGAGGTCACACTGATAGTATCTTTGTAGAGCCTGGAGACCCATACCCAGGTGCTCTGACCCCAAGTACAACATCTTTCACCACTCTGACCCTGACTTGGTCCATTCAGGCTGCTATCTAACAAAATACTACAAACCACAGACATTTATTGCTCACAGTTCTGGAGGCTGAGATGTCCAAGACCAAGGTGCTGGCAGATCTGGTGGCTGCTGAGGTTTTGCTTCCTGGTTCATAGACGGCCATCTTTTTGATCTGAGCTCACACGGCAGAAGGGGCAAGGGACTTCTCTTGGGCCTCTTTTATAAATGGTACTCATGCCATTCATGAAGGCCTCATGACTTAATCAACTCCCAAGCCCCACCTCCAAATACCCATACATTGAGGATTAGGTTTCTACATGTGAATTTGGGGGGGAACATAAACATTCAGACCATAGCAGTCCCCCTAAGAGGATAATGTATGGAGGATGATTGATGGATGGATGAAAAGTGAGTGAGTAGATGAAGGAATGGACAATAGAGCCATAGATCGGCCCCTGTACAGTGAGCTCGACTGGCCTGCTCAAGAATATGTTGGGTCCTTCGAATAATGTCATACACATAGTCACAGACATGGGAGGTAGTAGCACACAGTGGTTATGAGTTTGGGCTCCTTGCTTTTGTATGAAAAATCTTTCAAAACCTGTTATAAATGTTTTCTAATTTTCCATCACTAGTCCCTTGTGATAGAAAAGGCAAATATTTACATCTAGTTTACAGAGAAGTTCATCTCAAAGAGTTTGGGAACATCGGATGTCCTAGAGCCAGGGATGGTAGGGGAAGAAGCCAGGTGGCCTGCGTAGCTAGGCCCCAAGGGGTGAGAAATACCCTGCAGAAAAAGTGTTAAAGAAGAGAAAGGTCTATCTTTAGCACCCTCCGTCCTTCACTCTCTCTTCTCTGCTGCACCCTAAATTGCTAGTGGGTATGACCCCCTTCAAGATCTGACATTGCCTTGAAGAGCTGCTCCTCACATACCTATTGCTTGTTTAAGGAGGGGCACCGGGGGGCCTATAGGATCCTAAGGAATGAACCTGTGTTGGGGATATTTCAGGTACTCCTTGAAGCACTCAAGGAACTTAACACATCACACACCTGCATTTAGATAGAAAAGGCCACCAGCTGATGGAGATTAGCTTGGAAGCCTGGATTCAGGGAGACTAGTCGGGAGGCTGTATTGATAATTCAGGTGAGAAATATTGATTGGTCTGCATCAAAGCAGTGGCAACGGAGGAGAAGACTAGACGTGGAGTGAGAGATCATCAGGAGGTAGCGCTGAGAGTTGATGTTGACTGAGTAAATGTGGAAGATGGTAGGGAGCTGGGGTTAGTAGGGCTTTCTACTGTCAAATTGGGGGTAACAGGAAAGACTTCCTGGAGCAGTGGTTCCCAAAAGTTATTGTGATCCTGATCACTTGGCGGACTTGTTAAAATAGAGATTGCTGGACCCTACCTGAGAGTACAGATTCCATAGTCTGGGTTGGGGCCCAAGAATTTGCATTTCTCATGAGTTGCCAGGTGATCCAAATGCTGCCAGGCCTGGGACCTCACTTTGAGAACCACAGTCCTAGAGAATGGTATTGTTAAGTTTCAGTGTAGCTCCTAGAATGATTTAGACATAGATTGGCTGAGAAGATGGAAGACAGCATTTTAGGAGGGCTAAATGGCAAGGACAAGCAGTTGTAAGAGACTGTGACATGCTCATTCAAGTGGCCTCTTGAGGGCCTGAGTGTGGTAAAAATGAGACTTTTTAAAATAACCATGTCCCTTAGCAGTATTATCTATTTTTGAGAATGTCTCTTGCTCATGTTGTAAAATAGCCATCGGATATGTAGAGTCTTAACGTGGGTCCTTCCAGATGCAGATGCTGAGAGGATTTAAGTGAAAATACTTTATTAAGTAAGTGCAGGCAACTCCAGGAGAGAAAGGCCTGCTGTACAGGAAAGAGAAGGTAGAGTTATTAAGCCACAGGGAAATTGGGATCCATGCAAAGCACATAGCTCGAAATTATCCCAGCTCATGCAGGAGGGAGCTGGGGGATTCATAGATTAACTCTTGACAGTCATTGTTGAGTGTGTATTTGGTGACAGGTGAGGTGGGTTCATTCCTTGACACTTCTGGTCTGTAGCTTGGTCAGCAGTTTACTTTCTCTTAGTCCTGGAGAAAGAGCCTCGGGCACAGAGATGCGGGTGCTGGCTTTAGAAGTGGGAGGAATACATTCAACGGGCCAAGGGAGAGAATGTATATAAATAAAGCACCATCTAGGGCAACCTCCAGCTAATGCCAGTAATGGTCTCTGATAAGGCTCCTGGTCTGGGCCTTTAGGTGACAATGACAAAGCAATAATTAGTCTTGTGATTCTGTGTTCATTCCCATTTTGTGCAACTAGAGAAAGAGAAAGCCAAAAGGTAAGTTGAGGTGGGGTGGGAAAAGGATTCTTTTTGGTATTCTAAAGATGCCAGGTATTTAGTTTCTGGAAATAACATATTTTAATCTTCCTTACGTGTGGGACTATTTTTTACCTAATTCAAGAAGCAGGCTGGGTGCAGTGGTTCACACCTGTAATCCTAGCATTCTGGGAGGCCAAGGCATGTGGATCACTCAAGGTCAGAAGTTTGAAACCAGCCCGAGCAATAGTGAGACCCTGTCTCTACTAAAAATAGAAAGAAATTAATTGGCCAACTAAAAATATATAGAAAAAATTAGCCGGGCATGGTGGTTCATGGGACTACAGAGTCCCAGCTACTCTGGAGGCTGAGGCAGAAAGATTGCTTAAGCCCAGGAGTTTGAGGTTGCTGTGAGCTAGGCTGACACCACAGCACTCTAGCCCAGGCAACAGAGTGAGACTCTGTCTCAAAAAAAAAAACAACAACAAAAAAGCAGAAGTAAATTCTGAACTGCTAATGGGGTATTGGATTTTTTGGGGGGGGGATATAACTTGAGATTAGCATGTTACTACTCTATTATCTCATGGTTTCTCACTATTACTTTTTCTCAGCAGAACTATCATGACTTGAGTATTTCTTTAAATAATGTCTTTGTCAGTTTGGGCTGCTATACCAAAACACCATAGAAGTGGTTTAAACAACAGAAGTGTATTTCACACAGTTCTGGAGGCTGGGAAGTCCAAGATCAAGGTCCTGGCAGATGAGTCTGGTGAGGGCTCTCTTCATGGTTTGCGGATGGCTGTCTTCTTGTTGTATCCTCACATGGCAGAGAGAGAGAGAGAGAGAGCGCTCTAGTCTCTTTCTCTTCTGATAAAGATATTAATCTCATCATGGCAGCTCTACTCTCATGAGCTCATCTAAACCTAATTACCTCCCAAAGGCCCCATCTCCTAATACCATTGAATTGGGGGTTAGAGTTTCAACATATAAATTTTAGGGGAACACAAACACACATTAATAACACTTCCTCTTTCCTGAAAGTCATATTTTCCTGGGCAGCTAAATTGGATATGCATTTTACTTTTTGTTCCTCCCAGTCTCTGCAGATTCATTTTTAGATCACTTGGAGTGATTTTTTTTTCTTTTTTGCCACCATTTAGAATTAAGCAAAATGACAGAGAAACCAAATACTGCTGCTACTTGTTAAGCTCCTGGGGTGACTGAATGAGGCACACCTGTAGCCAATCAAGAAATGCACTAATCACATTGAAAGGTCTTTTACTGCTTTTCATAAGAAGGAAAAGCAAAAGGAAACAGGAATAGGAATTTTTAAGGTAAAAAATCATTATAGCCCCAGTGGCTCCTGGTATAGCTCTAAGCTTCATTGAAATTCCTCTTGAATATTGTCCTGTCCAGAGAAATTGATCAGTAAGTATTGGTTAGCTTTAAACACATTTCTAAAGATAAAAATCAGGATTATCATTCATATTTGTTAAATAAAATATATACCATTGCTTTGCAAGGTAATATAATGTAATGGTTTCAAAATGGTATAACTGTTTTTTCTTGGAGGTCAAATTGGACTTGTTTGAAAGTTACTAAGTGTCAATCTTCAGCTATAAATTCATCCTGAGACCCAAGATCTGGAACATCTATTTATGGAGGATTAGCTGTGGTGTCTGTCACTCAGCAGGGACTGTGGCGAGGTCAAGTTCTAAAGTAAACCTCACTCAAGGAAAGGTATTTTATGCAATGACAGAGCTGAAAGGGTCACACAGCTCACTCATTTTACAGATGAGGAAAATGAGTCCCCAAGCAGGGCAGTGGTTTCCAAGAGTAACACATCTGCTCGTAAATTAAATGGCACGCAGGCCAGAGATGGGAGGGTGGTAATCTGAGCCTCTCCTCCCGCACTGGCTGCCAATCTTGTTCTGCACCAGCCCCAAAGGTTTGGGTTTAGACCAGGGCAGGTCTGGAGTTGCCACTCTGGACAGTGTTAAGAAGGGATTCACAAAGCATATGCTATGGGACAAAATTAACTGATGTTCCTTAAAGATACTGTTTTGTAGTCATGTTAGCTAGAGCTTGCTCACTTTTCAGAAGTTCAAGGTGACACCAAGCCAGTAGATTTTTTTTTACTTTGAGGCTCTGCTTCTTGGGGCCATTACAGTTGAATGTGGCTGCAAATCCCATAAAGGGTTTATAATGTTTAGCATTTCCCACACTTGCCGACAATGGAACCCTCTTCTCATGGACCACTTGTAACACTAATGATCCTCAAGAACTCATATAGGGAAAGGCCAGTCCCAATTCCCTTGTCTATTTATGAGGAAAGGAAACCAGAGAGAGGTGGCATGTGACCAGGCTTCCATTCTGGAAAAAGCTATTCCAAAGTTTAACCAAGTCCCAGCTCATGCCCACTCTGGGCAGCTGTCTACTGAAATGATCGTTTCAGGCCAAGTTAGGCTTCAGTTTGGGCCTGTTTAATCCAGGGTCCATGGTGCCATCTTGGCCCTCCCCAAAGTATACCTTATGTCTCTGGAGATGACAGAACCACCCAGTTTTTCAGTGACCTCCAAACTATTTATGATCAATGGGCCGGCTAGACTGCATGGTCCATGGTAAACAGGATTTCAGGAACAGACCAGCACCCGAGAGATTTTCCTGAGACTAGAATGGATCTGGCACTCAATGAGACCCTTGGTATTCATGGTTTACCTGCCCATATTTGCTGTCATCAAACGTTCAACTTCAGATGCTGTACAATTGCTCATGAAAAGTTATTGCTGCCAAGCTCTCTCCTCTTCACTTTCTTTCTTGTGACACAACCTGTTCTGGTCCCAGATACTTTTAGTAACACCAACAGAGAGAAGAGTTAGATATTAATTTGAACTCTGTCAAATGAGTTAGGCATTTTGAGACTGTTCTTACCTCATGAAGAGCATTAAGAACTATTTAATCAATGTTTTTAAAAAAAGAAAAAAAGAACTGTTTAATAAATTATTGTTCAAGGACGGCTTAGGTGGGTTAGTTTGGCATATAAAAGACCTCATAAAATGCCACCTCCTCCACACAGCCTTTTCTCGTCAGCTGAAAGTTATGTGACAGCTTCCTCCCCCAAGACCAACTCATATGAAAACTAATGAACATGGAAATATACATTCAATTTTTAAAAATTGTCATCTGAGCTAGAGGCACTTTTTATATTGAAAATTCTGTGGCTGCTTCTGTGTTCATACTTACATGTATGTATATACCTAGATACATATAATGTATAATTTTCAAATACTAGGATTTATTATTAACAACAATGTAAGGACTTATAGATTCAAACTAATTATTTGGGAAGTCATTTTCTTGGAAAAATATACACACACATGCATATGCACATGTGTGTTCATAGACACACATAATTTGTGTGTGAGGGTCAGGGTTGGAGGAAGAACTAACTACCTGTGAACTTAGTTCACAAGCCAAACAAGAGAACAGGCTTTGCTATTTTATATTTATGTCTCATATTGGAAACTCCTTAAAAGTCAGCAATTTAGTGCTGGCATTTCCTGAGACCCACCATTTTCATAGTCTGGTTGGAGATGGGCAGTATTTTATGATCAATTCTGACAATTTACCCTGTAACAAGTGAATAACTGTGGATAGTGGATTGAAAGAGCAATTTTGGGTTTGGCTGTGCAGAGGGAAATAGTAGAAGCAAAACACAGAAAACCCTTGGCTATTCTGATTTCAATGCAGAGGTCAAGAGACATGCTACTTCAAAGTCAGGACTCTTCAAATGATAGAACTTCATGAAAGAGCTCACTCAGAAGATAAACCTATGTCCAAGTCCGCTGAGAAATCAGGGACAGAAGAAAAGAACCTAGAAATGGGTTAGAGGGTATTTGAATATTTTTAAACCTCTCCTTTCTTTTACATGTTTATGTAGTTTTCATGGGGTCTGAGTTTAGGGAACATCAGTAGGAGGAGGTAGGAGTATTTAGAAGGATGAGTGGGCAACATTGGTGAAACTTATTATGCACAACATGGATTTTGAAAAGCAGATAACACTTGGGAGGTTTGATAATTTGAGAAAGTTCTTTCCATTGTTAATATAAATTTGTATTTGTACCCATGTTCCTGCTGTGCTATTGAATCTGCATGTTTCACAATTGAATATGTTTAATTACATACTGTGTAATGTGTTTTTGATATATTTCTGCTTTGCTAATCTCTGATTGACTTATGGCTCTACATTATATAAAGAAGAATAACAATATGACAATGTCAGAACATAATATTTTCTGCTGCTTAGCTTGGTGTTTGGCATCCTCTGTAACATAGCTTCTACTTTATGGCTTTCCATTTCTTTTTTACATATACCTTGTACGTGATCTAAACCAGCTTAATCTTTGTTCTCCAAACAGGACACACACCTTTCCATCTCTGTGCTATAATTGTTCATACTACCTACTAATCCTGGAATACTACTCCCCCTTGTCATTTCTAGCTCTCAAAATCCTACCCAAAATTCACTTAAAATGCCAGCTGCAGGCTTTGGATTCAAGATGGCTGACATTTATCAAAATGTCAAATGTTTGACCTTTCTCAAAATCCCAATAAGTGTAACAAATAAGTTAATAATAGCAACACATGAAAAAAATCAATAATGGCTATAAAAGCCAAGAAGCTAGATAAATAGTATCTACTATAAATTCTACACATTTCTCATTCATAATGAAAATAAATGCTTTAAAATACCTAAGGAATATATTTCCAGTATTTAACATGTAAGGCCTATATAAAGGAAACCATAAAGCTTTGCCAATAGACAAAAGAAAGGATCTGGATTACATTGCAAAAGTATCAATTCTTGCAAAAACTAATCTGTAAATTCAATGCAATTTAAAAAAAAAATCCAAGGATAATTTTTATGAACCTGATAGGCTAAGTACTTCTTAAAGAACAAAAGTGTAATAAATAGCCAAATTAATTTTAGAAGAATGGGTACAGTTTGTACTACAGATATCAGAATATACTAAAGAGTTTCAGTAACTACAACAGTGTGATACTGACTTGGGAACAGTGAAACAGACTAATTGAGGAAAGACACTACACTTTTTAGGGAAATTGATAGGCTGGCTATAAAATTTATATGAAATATCCAAGATAGCAATAGCAAAAACTCTCTTGAAGATAAAGAATAAGGTGGGAGGACTTGCTCTTCCAGAAATCAAGACATACCATAAAGCTACAGAATTAATTTAGTATAGGCACAAAGCTAGACAAATAGATCAGTGGATAGGATAGGGAACCCAGAAAGAACTCACTCATATCCAGACAAAACTGATAGCAAAGGAGAAACTTCTTCCTGTGGGGAAATAGGGAATTCTCAATAAAAGGTATGAGGTCAATTGGACATCCATATGTGAAATATAAAAGTAAAACTCCTCTCCACACCATATAAAAATAATGTCCAGGTAGGTTAAAGACTTAAATGTGAAAAGTGAAACTCTAAAGCTTTGGGAAGAATATATAGTATATATTATATATCTTCATGACCTTGGGGTATGAAAGATATTTTATTGAAAACACTAGTCACAAAGGAAAAGATCGATGACTACATGAAAATTACGAATTCCTGTTCATCAAATGTCAATATGAAAATAGTGAAAAGAAAAGCCAATGAGAGGAAGATATTTACAACACGTATGATCATGAAAGAATTGGTATCCAGAATAAAGAAGGCTTATAGAGAAATGAACAGAAGATCAACAACTCAACAGAAAAATGTCCAAGAGGCTTGAAGAGATACTTCTCAAACAACAGCAAAACACCTAAATAGCTAATATAGATATGATATGAGTTCAAGCTCACTAGCAGTCACAGAAATGCAAACTAAAGCCACACAATCATACTACTATACACTCATCAGATAGACAAACTTTGGGAAGTCTCATTGCAAGTGGTGGCCAGGTTAGGATCGTGCACGGCAGTAGAGAATGTGAATAGGTGGAATTATTTAATGAAATTGAAGACAAGCATATTCTATAACCTACAATTTCCATTTCTACTTGCATACTTTGGTAATTTAATTGTTAATGAGCACTGAAGGGAATCAGAATATGCCACTCCAAAATATGCTACTTTGGCATGTTGATTATTTTGAACTGAAAGAAATTAAAAAAAACACAAAAACCAAACAGTTGCAGGAAGGGCTGTCTGGCCAATGATTTCCTCCCTAAAAACATAGTATAAATTTCTTTTGAAAAAGGTGTCCTCTTTCCTTTGTCGTATCATGTCTCTATATTTTATTGTTCTCTGTTAAAATGACATATAAGCTCTCAGGTCTGTCTTCCTTTGTGTCTTCCTTTCTTACATATGAAGACCTCCATGTACACGTAAGAATACAAACATCAAATATAATTTCTATGCTCTTTTTTTTGTTAATCTGTCTGCTGTCAGTTTAATTCTCAAGCCAAGCCACAGAACCTAAGAGGGTAGAGGAAAAGTTTTCCCCCTCCACACCAGAATATATGTTTACAAATGTTCATTTCATCTTTGTTCTTGATTTTCAAAAGTTGGAAATACTTAATTCCCTTTCTACAGCAGAATGGTTAAATACCAGTATAGCCATTCAACAAACATGATGTTAGGTGAAAAATTCAGTTACAAAAATTGCATGTAGCATGATTCCATTATATAACATTTTAAAATAGACAAAACTAAACTATAATGTTTAGCAATGCATACATCTCTGATAAAAATAAAAGCAAGAAAATTATTACTGTCAAGGTCAGTATAGAGATGACCTTTCTGTACTTGAGTGATAGTTATATGGATGCTCATTTTACCACCATCTGCTAAATTGTACACATAAGTCTTCCTGTGTCAAAGTTTAAAAATAAAATCAAAACCAAATAAAATCAAAGACAAAATCAAAATAACCCAAAAAGTAAAAAGAAAACAGAAAACAAACAAAAACCCACAAGAGATTTTAGAAATAGAAATATATATTAATTTTATATTTGATAAAGGAGGTATTTCAAATTAAAATCATTCATAAATGGTGTTGGACCTGGAAGGAAGAGATTAGATTGACAGATTTGACTACAAATAAATTAAAACATCTCTGTGGTCACAGACACCACAAACAACTTGGAGAAAATATTCACAACTCACACAAGAGGCAAATGATCATATTCATAGTACATCAAAAATGTTTAGAAATCAATGTAGGGGTGGACATATGGGCAGGTAGTGTACAGAATAACAGATACAGGCCGGGCTTGGTGGCTCATGCCTGTAATCCTAACACTCTGGGAGGCCGAGGTGGGCGGATTACTCAAGGTCAGGAGTTTGAAACCAGCCTGAGCAAGAGTGAGACCCTATCTCTACTAAAAATGGAAAGAAATTAACTGGACAACTAAAAAATATATAGAAAAAAATTAGCCAGGCATGGTGGTGCATGCCTGTAGTGCCAGCTACTCGGGAGGCTGAGGCAGAAGGATTGCTTGATCCCAGGAGTTTGAGGTTGCTGTGAGCTAGGCTGACACCACAACACTTTAGCCTGGGCAATAGAGAGAGACTCTGTCTCAAAAACAAAACAAAACAAAAAACAACATAACAGATATAAATAGTCAATAAACATATGAATAAATAACCAAGTTTATTAGTAATTAGCAAAGTAAAAATATGGGAAAATAATATGTAATGGGTGGGGAAAATTAATATAATCACAATGTAATTATTTGCATAATTATATGTTAAAATTATTGAATTATAAAATAATTTGAAAATGTGAACAAACAAGGAAATCATTAATTAAAGTAAGGCTCCTTCTAGCTTTATGTATGACTCATGTCCTCATAGTCTCAAAAAGAGCAGAAGGAAAGATCACAGCCATGTATTTTCGAAGGTGAAACACAGTGAAGAGTATAACTAATTAGCAGACTTGAGAAAACAGAGTCCTGATTTGATATTGAGAAGCAAACTGAGCTACTCTACATCGTCCCCAGAAGATAAAGCAATGAATGCAGCACACAGTATATCTGGATGAAGGAGGGTGAGAAGCAGACCCAAAACGGAAGAATAGGTTAAAAGGCAATTTAAGATGTAGCTGGATTCCCAGATCCCCTTGTGTTTTGCAGAGCCAGTGAATGTCCACTCCTTGCCAAAGCAGAAAATGGCAGGGTTATTATATGGATAAGGTGAGAGGGAGGGGATATTTCAGGCATAGTTGAGGCCACTATAACTGCACAGAAAATAGGGTGGTAAAGGGCACATTGCATGTTGACATACTGGATGCTGAGAGCCCCCCAGCCTTTTTTTTTTTCAACTAGCTATTAGCAATAAGTTCTTTTCACACTAAGCAGGAGATCTTTCTCCGGGGGAATCTATGTAGCCCAAGAGAAAAAACCTAAACATTCTAACATCAGGAGTCCCCCCAAATAAATAATCCCGGCTAATCATCGTACAGTGAACCTTAGCTTCAAGAAGCCTCACTCGTAGACTCAGAGCATGGTCCAATCAGCTTTTCACTGAATATGACTCCACTAAGAACACAGTACCAGGATTATTAGACAGCTAAAAAATGTATAAGAGTGTACAAATGGGGGGAACATTGTGTAGAAAACAGAGAATGTGCAATAAGAAGAAAAAAATTTAAAATATCCTATCATTAACATTTTCCAAGAGATAAAGGAAGATATTAGATTTATGAAAAAGATACTTCAAAAAGAAACATTCAGGTAACACAAGAAAATTGGAGAAATCAAAACCACAATAGCAGAAAAGAGCATTCCATAGAAGGGTTGAAAGATAAAATTGAGATACTCTTTTAGGAAGAAGAGTAACAAAGCTAAAGAGATTTAAAAATAAGAGAGAAGAGATGAGGAAAGTTAGAGGATGAGTCCTGAATATGCAACACTTGAACAATAGGAATTCCGGAAAGGGAGTGGAGGAGAGGAGATCATGAAAATAATTCAAGCAATCTCCCAGAACTGTTGTATATGAGGACCACTGAGTGCCATGAGCAATGAGTAAAAATAGACCCACCCCAAGGGAAGTAAATTTTCAGAATTCTGGCGATGAAGAAGAGAGCTTACTTCTTTATAACAGTGAAAACTTAGGAAGAACATAAATGTCTACTACTAGGAAATTGGTTAACCAAAGTATAGACTAGTCTCAATAATGTTATTATTAAAATCAATGATAGACCTCTATATTTGTTGAAATTTAACAAAAAAGTGAAAAGAAAAGAAGAGAAGAGAGCTTACAAACTTTCAAGGAGATTAAATAACAACAGGTCACCAATGAAGGATCAGAATGGCTCCAGACTTTTTACAAATAGCATTGGAAGCTAGACTATGATGGAACAGTGACTTCAAAATGATGAAGGAACCTGAATCTACACCCAGTCAAATGTCAATCAAATGTGAAGATAGAGTACAGGTATTTTCAGATACATTACAGGTATTTATAGGTATTTTACAGGTATTTTCAGATGTTAACAACTTTACATCCTATGTACCTTTTCTCAGGAAACTACTGGAGGATGTTTTCTATCAAAACAAGAAAGTTAATTGAGCAAGAGGAAGATGTAGGATCCAGGAAAGCCACAGAGTAATCCAGAAGACAGAGGAGGAGACTCCCCGGAGCGCTGGGGAAGGGGGATCAAGATGAGAGCTGAGCACCAGCTGCAGCAGGAGCTGGTCCAGATGGAACAAGACTCCCCGAGAGCGAAGAAGATGAAATGCTGGAATGAAAGAACACCACCTCTTGGAAACACTGAGAGCACATTGAGACAGAAAATTTGAGTGGTTAGTGATAAATGTCTAGATGTCTATACAAATGTCTATCTAGATAAATGTCTAGATGTCTAGAATTGTGCTGCTCAGTACCAGTGCCACCAGCCACATAAACTGTGGCAGTTTAAGTTTAAATTAAATAAACAATTGAGAATTTTAGTTCTGCTGTCACACCAACCAGATTTGATAGCCACATGCAGCTGGTGGCTATAGCTACCATGTTGGCTATAGTACTGGTATAGAACATTTCCACCACTGGAGACAGTCATCTTGGATACCACATGTCTAGAAAAATCAAATCAAGGAAGAAAATAAAAGAGATAGAGAAAAATAGCAACAAATCCTTGTGCAGGAAAAAAAAGTCCATCATAATCTATGGGATTCAGCTGTGAATAGCCGTTTGCTAATCATGATAATGCAAATTGAATTCTAAATTATATAGAGAGAACTTTATTGGGGGGCATGAGGCTTGTGTCTGGTAAAGGTGGAAGTTCATTTGAAAGATAGCCAAAGCCTCAGCTTACCAGCTGGGAACTTGGTATGTGGTGCCTATGACTGAAAAATCAGGAAGGAGCAGTGTAGACATTTTTTTTTTTAATGTGCAGAAGTATACAACAAAAGATTCAGCTAAAAGAGTCAAAGTGATGTCTTTAGGGAGGGAATAAAAGGAGGAATAGTAGAAATAGGGAGTGCTGATTTAATAACAAGCCTTGTAAAACTATTTTATTCTTAAACTATGTGCACACATAATTTGATCAAAATAATGAATAAAATCAAAGAAATTAAAATAACAAAAATCTGTTATAATACCATCTCCCTCATCAAATCTCTTATGGCCCTCAGGCATGATACTTTTACACTTTGATATTTAGAAAAGCATTATCTGAAGTTCTGCTATTGGCACTTAACTGTGCCCTGCTTTGTTTTGTAGTCAACTATGTAGGCTTCTAGTCAAACTCCTATTTATTCATAAATTTTTAAACGAACTACTATGTGATTTCAGAAGCTTCATGATATTTTAGAATTTCAATATAATACAGAGTAAAGAGTTAAGACTCCAGTAAAATTTTAAAACTGGTAATAATAAAAAATAATAATAGCTAACATTTACTGAGCACTTAATTATGTACAAGACATATATTAATAATAAGAACCTACCAATAAATAAGGATGCCTCCTCCAGAGGCCTGGAAAACAGAGCTGTTCTTTCATCCCTAGAGGGCGTAATTCCAGATTAGAGTATTTGCAGAATTTAGAAAGGTGGTGGCAGTGTTTTTTAGTGTGATTGGGGAGAAATGTAAACTGCTTGTACTGGCCCCTGTGTAACCATGATGGGAACGTGGCCAGCTCTCCTGTGACTCTCTCGCTACTGATGTGCTTTGCAAATTTTTAGGGCAACCTTCAGCAGGCCAATGTAGCCGGGGCTTTGGGGCTTTCTTTCAGGAGGGATTGATCCCAAGAGGTCTAAGCCAAGGTGTTTTCATGTGGACTCATTCCCAACCCCCTAATTTTTTAGATACTGTTCCTGGGATATATACTTCACTATAAATGGAGTCTGAGGTTCTGCTCATCTGGAACCCCACTTGTTAATGCCACAGTGGGTTCAAAAGTAATGTGTGGAGAGTGTCTTAGTCCATTAGGTCTACTATAACAGAAATACCATAAACCGGGTGGTTTATATACAACAGAAATTTACTTCTTACAATTATGCTAACTGTTCATGAATAAAGTGCTGATTAAACAAATTATACTATATCCAATCAATAGGATTATTTTTGGAAATTAGAATAGGCTATATGTATGTGAAGTTTCATAAAAGATGCCCATTACATATTATTAAATAAATAAATTTATGTCCATGTCCATATTGAAAATATCTGAATCTTAACACTGACTATCTTTAAGAAGGTCTATGCTCATTTTCACTTTATATAATCTCGTACTCTTGTGCTTTAAAAAAAAATGGGCCTGTATTATTATTTTTCAATTTAATAACATCTTTTATAGTATGTCATGAATAGTAAGTCACAATTCTTCCAGTTTGCAGCTACCAAGTAAATGATCTCATATCATATAAATATCCCTTGTCATAAGACCTATGAGAACATACGAGATGAACAGGTCTAATTAGTTATATGGTAAAATTATGTTAAATTTTATCTACCTCCATATGAATCATGGAAGGGAGAGAGGTACATATGTTCGAAATATGAGATTATTTTCTAACATTTAACTTAAAAAGAACTATTACAATATGTTTAGTCTCAAATCCATACCAAGGTATAGGTGACTCACAGAGTTTTTCCTTCGGTACAGGAGCAATCCAGAAAAAGAGCAATTCTCTGTTTTGTAAGAGCTTATGATTCATCGCTATCTGTAAGGACATACAGATATACAGAAGAACTGGATTTCAAATAAAAAAGAAAAACACAGTTCAGGAGCAAAGAAAGTGTAAGAGTGAAGGACATTAGGCAAGTTGTAAGAAAATTGTTATATAATTTGTATAATACAAAGTAAATGTCTTATACTTGGATTTACCTAATACAGCGTTATTTTTTCCTAGTCATCTACTGATTTCCATTTTATCTGTGCTCCCTGTTCGGAAATTGAACCCGTTTGTGTCTGCATTCACACTTTGCTTCTAGGAGCCAGGAGTCAGCTGAGTTAACAGGAAATCAGTAACTCAGTTATGAACAAGAGAGGCTCTGTATCCCTAGCAGCTAGCCTCACCTAGGGAGGGAGAGGTAATGAATGTGATTTTTGGCAACCCCTCCTGGGTTAGTAACAGAAAAATGATGGGGCCTAATCTTTCTAATTACACCCTATGGATATCTTTTCTAATGTCACCGTCAAATATTTCCACCTATAACTTCACGCATCACATTTTTAAACATTGCTTTTGCCAACTTGACGGTTTCTGCATCATATTCCTCAATTGCTCTCACATTAACACCGGTAACTCAGCTGGTGAATCTTTTGAGGGTGAGCATGTTTATCTCTGTGAAAATTGGACATACAACACACAGACAGCAGTTATGGAAAAGTGAAAACCTCTCAAAGTCATGCTTATTTTCTCCTAAATTTTTTTTTTCATGAATATGGTATTGAACGGGGCTGCAGTACCTAAGAAATTAAACCTAAATTTGAATCCTATAGGCTGGAAGTTAGGTAGAATTCCATTACATTTGAATAGTTCTAGGCAAGCAATTTGTTACCCTTTATCCTTTAGTGGAATTGATGAACAGGTGGTTTTCAGAAGATCACTCAGTATATTTAGCTTCTGAAATTTGAGCAACTCAAGATCTGATTGGCTGCTCTTGCCACATGATAATTCGGAGCCCAGGCACCACGCTGGCTCTTGCCTGGGGTTCTCAGGAGGGGAGAGTTGGGAGAGGCTTTGCTGCTGAGGAAATTTATTTGATAGACTGAAGGTAAGGCCAGTTTATGGCTTTTTCTGTAATGTTTTTTCGGGAGATGTTCCACAACTTCCCTTGAAGTATTTTTCAAGGTTTGGGGTCATAAATGGGGAAATTAGTGGCAGAAATGTGGCTAGGGACGTCTGTAACCCCCATTAGCTCACTAAGTCCCTATTAATATGTAGAGTATGTGATTAGGGTCAATTCCTACACTAACCCATTTATTGCTCGACTGAGTTGGCTTTCTTGTCTAACAAAATTTTTTTTCCTGTTTTGCCTTTGATTTTTTTCCCCCTAAATATATTAGTATGGAAAAAGATCTATGTTCTACGTTCCTATATTTATCCCATTCCACTGGACTCCATTTGCCTCAGAAGGAGTGGCAGTTTCGCTAGCTTAACAAAACCAGCCACTGCGGGGTGTTGGTTTACATGGCAAACATCTCTGGGCCCAGGGACAGCTGCTCCGAGTCATCATCCACTTGTATCGAGAGTCCCACTCTCTGGTGTCAAACAGAAAAGGCCCTGAGAGATCCTTTCGTTATTTCCTGAATTAGAAGCTTAGGCCAGAGACCTACAATTTTATATGTATTTCAACCAATGCTTTAAACTTTGTTATTTTTCAGGTTTGAACAGGAGCTACAGAAACAAAAGAGAAAACCCGTTTAAGCCAATGGTGTTCGGGAAGAGAATAACCCCATTGCCTTGAGGTTTCTATTTTTCTTTTAAAATCTATCGACTGTATATGGTTTTACATATTCTCATTTAAAGCATAGGATATACTGCAGATGGTGGGTTAGAGCAGTATAGAAAAGTAAGTCAGCCCTCTTAGAATTTTGGTGCTATGGGGAAAATTCCAGCTGAAAGCTGACCTTCCTTTCACTAAACGTTTTGCTTGAAAATGTTTTTTTCTCCAAAGGTTTGAAAATTTAAATTCTCTGTTCCTAGAGTCCAAACTCACTTCCTTACCTCAATTTCCTTTTACAACTTTAACTGAATTGATCATGTAGAAGTAGCAATAGCTAACATGTTACGGAGGGCATAAGGAGAAAGAAATTGGAAGCCTCTGTTGTTTAGACCTGTATTCTAAATGTCTTCTCTCCTTTACCCTGCAAAAATAACCAAATATGTAGCATAGATTAGTTTTAAATTCTATTTTTATAATGTAATCAGATAATGTCTGTCCTGGGGTTAGATTCTAATGCATTTTCCTTTGTGCGGAATATGAAAAGTTTGTAGGTGCCGCTACTACTCCGGGAAAATGGCAGATGACGAAGAATATGAGGAGGTGGTGGAGGTAAGATAAAGACAAATCGACAGCCACATATTTTGTGTAGTGACAATCAAAGCCGGGTAGGTGAGTTAATCATTCGAAAAATACATTGTCTATTATAACTTCACAAAGAGTCATCATTAAAGCATAAGAAAGGAATATCTTGCGTTCAGCTTCACTATAATTATGTGGGATTTAGAATTGAAAGGAAATATCACTGTTTGCCACTTTTGCTTTTCTTTAAACTCTCAAAAAAAACAAAAAAACAACAAAGACTGGGGTAAAAGTGGATTTTAATTTGTCTTCTAAAACTACTTTCTTCTCCTATGATCAAAGAGACAGAGGCAACGAAGAGAAAGGTCTGAAAACTGAAGTCTGTTTCTTAGTGTCTGCATAGCCACAGAGAAAAAAAAGTTACTCCTTATTCATCGCTTCAACAAGTTGGTTATAGATAGGGCAATATGAGATAAATATTGGGAATAATCATACATATGAGATTATATGCATGTATGAAATTTTATATATATATGTGCACCCATGTTCATGGACACACACACATATAAATAAATTCATAAAGGTCACAAGTGACAGTTGGAGTCACACTTTTCCACTGACTCCATTATCTTTCCCCAGGGGAATAAGACCAGCTTTTGCTTTTGAATTTTGAGTAAGAACAAAGTTCATAGTAGGTATCTGGAAAGATTACCTTTGACTTATTGGGGGACATCTGACACATTTTACAAAGTTCTTAATTGTTAATTTGATATTTAATCCTTGTGTTTTTATCATGTTATGGTTTTTTGTCACCAGCTCTTACCTTTAGCTTCACATTCTAGAAATAAAATATAAGGGCTTGGGACTATAATCCATATAAATACATTGCCATGAATCTGAATGTGCTTAATAATTACCAATTAATGATGATGATCTAAACATATGAATATTTCCAAGTACCTAAGGTACTTGGAGGCAGTTTTAAAAATCTCTGTTTTTTAATAAAGACTGACATTAACTAAAAGATCTGCCCAGAACCAAATTCCAGATTACAGTGCCAAAATTTGTCTTTGGAAATTACTTTAGTGACCAGTCTATATTTAGATGAAGGAAATTTTATTTTATTCTATGAATAAAATCGCTTTTATTACTGGAGAATATGAAAAGAAAAAAACCCAGAATGAATCTCATACACTGCAACATTCAACCTCTCTGGCCACATCTTTCATGCTCAATATTATCACTAGTATGCATTTTACTTATGTCCCCAAGGGTCAGAATAATCACTATCAAATGCTAACACTATAAATTAAATTGTCTTCCGTATGATGCTAATACCAGGAATACTTTTTAGGCTTCAACTTAAATATCCTTGTCTTTCTTAAGATAATTGTATTCATTTGCCACTGGAAATTTTCCTTAGTGCTAGACTTGATTGATTTAACTAGATGTCATAAAAAATGCAGGGGGCTATTTTTAGGTGTCCCATCCTTGCCATTTTGTTCTTATTACTGCTTCTGAGTCTGACTAGCAGGAGATAAACTAATAGAGTGCCTGCCGGAGAGTGTTGAACTGAGGTCTCTTTGATCTCCCAAGGGATCATGAGAATGGGATTGTAGCAGATTTGCAAAAATGGTTAGGGAAGAGTTCAGAAAATAGAGAGGAGCTAGCTTTAAAAATATATCTCCTAGGGATCTTGGACATCTGAAATAAAATTTTACTGTCACTCTCTACTCAAACTTGGAAAGAAAGAGAAAGAAGCAAGGATGTACTATCTAATTAGTGGCACAGATCTAAAAAAAAAGTGAGATTTGGCATATAAGTTAATGCCAACCACTTGAATAATGTTGCCTTTTTTACAAGCTTAATTCTAAGATATATTTACCAATGGTGAGAGTGCAGCAAAGGTAAAATTGGATAGCTGCCAAAGAGCTGCTTTTACTTGGATGCTGAGAAAATCCAAAGTAGTTATGAATCTTTCATTTTAGTTCAATATTTCTTCTCGAGCCACTTATGTTTTGTGTGGACAGAGGAATGGCTCCATGCGGCATCAGCGTCAAACAATATTTCCTGAAGTGTCCAAATGGTGTTTCTCGTGTGCTGAAGTCACAACTGTGAAAGAGCAACTCTCTGTCCTGGGACAGCTTGCAATTACTGTCGCTATGTATAAGGACACACAAACAGAATTAGATTTTAAATTTAAAAAATAGCACAAGAACAAAAAAAAATGCACAAGAACAAAAGACATTAGACAAGTTTTATACAATTATTCCTCAAGGTGAGATACAGCAAGTGACCTATGGACAACAGTTAAATAATTTGGCGATGGTTTTCCCCTCCCCTCATGTACTGTACATGTTTTGGTGCCAGTGATAAGAAAAATGAAGCAAAAAGTGTCACAGATTTTGTTGACTGAGAAAATGAACCCCGTGTTTCATTTTATCCCTTTCCCTATCCCCTGTGTGGCTTGACCTACAGAAGCCTTTCCTTCTGTTCACCCCGCAGAGCTGGGTGAGGCTGGGGGCAGGATTCCTCTCTCCTTACACATCTGAAAGCAAATGTCAGCCAGTTCCTATCTGCATCTATTTATTGCTGGTGATGTCATAAGCAGAACAAAAGTAGGCTCGGTTTCATATCCAGTCTACAGGCACCTCAGGGCCACCAGTGGCCATGGCAGCCTCCCTTTCCCACATTTCGCAATGAGGAATCTTCCCCTGGTTCCTTCCTTCCCTTGGCATGTGCCAACAGTCATCTTAGCACCTGGTTTAGAACCATCATGCTGTTATTGAAAAAGGACTGACCCATTACTCCAGAAGAAACACTTATTACTAAGTAATCGGGAGGGTGTAGGAATCACTGAGATATGTATATGGTTTGGGGTCTTACTGTTTCCATGATACATTCCATCTCGAAATTTATTCACACTCCGTTTTCAGTTGTGTCTTATTGTTAGTTAGTAAACAGTGAGTTTTATCACAGTTCTTCTTCCCAGCCCCCACACTCAGGATCTTTTATTATTGTTTTCTGTTCTCAGCAAATTCTATCTCGGGGATCATAAGAAAAAATTTTACCTGTCCCTGTACAATGGCTTCCCCTCATTACAAACCAGCCTCAGACACTTTTCTCATCCCTCTGCATCTCTTCGTCCAATCTTAGGGCATTCCCTTCAGCTTTCCTGAAGTATCATAAAGGGAAATGGGGTTTCAAAGTCTGAACAGGCTCCCTCACTTACTCCCTCCCTGCAGATATTCCAAACCAGCTCAGCTAGCGAAGTCACCTAAGTGGTTCAGCTGGGGCAAGGGAGAGGTGACTTCTGCTCTTGGTTCTCATGACAATGCCTCTGTGCTCTGTTTGCAGTACTACACAGAAGAGACAATTTACGAAGAGGTGCCAGGAGAGGTAAGGCCCCGTCCACACACGCATGAGCTACATTCTCATTAAAGCAGGAAGAGCCTTCTCCTGTCTCAGACTCCCAAGGCCACAAAGATGGCGAAGGAGATTATCCGAGAGAAGGCCCTTCACCCCACCTGGGCCCTGAAGTTGGTGGTTAAAGCACAAAATGTTACCTGTTTGACAGGTTACGTCACCGTTTTTGCTATTCAGTGTACTCAGGCAGGCAGGGGATTGTTTCCCATTGCTCCTGCGGTATTTTTCGTGTAGATGGTGCAAATTTGGTTAGTGTCAGTGGTCATCATCACTCTCTGACTGCAGCAAGAGGGATGGCCTGGGCCTTGGCCTTGTGATTGGCATAGAGACCAGCAGTTTTCACTGTGCAGAGTTGTAACTCATAGGCCACCATCTCTGCCGCCAGGGACGGTCCCCCCAAGGCTTGGTTCCTGATGATGCATTGAAATGTTACTCAGATTTTAGCACGTTGGGAATTCTGAGAAAACCATTCCCATAAATATTCCAAGTTGGAACTCCTTCTCCCCCCTCCCCCCCCAAGGTGAACTACCTCTCTCATGCTTCATTTTGTGCATGGAGCTGTTTCTCTTCGAGCATGACAAACAGCCATACAGGTGGTTCACTGTGAAGCCTGCTCAGAGAGCCTGTGACCGCAGGAAAACTAACGTCTGTAGATGCTGTAACTTGGTTAGTTTCTCACAGTCCATTATGCATTAGCGCTAATTGGCAGAAAGCAGCCTATTAGTAATGATCTGACGACACTACGAGGAGTGCTCGTGGATGTACAGTTTCCTTACTAGGTTCTCTTTGCATAATGGATGCTAGAGCTCTTCCTTTGGTACTGATGATATTAGATGTGAAGAAAACGATACTGTGAGATGGATTGAAGACTTGGGATCCTTATCTTCTTTCCTTATATACAGTATTTTTAACCTTGGACTAGACCCAAACTTTGAGTCTTAGCTTCTTCCACTATAGCGTGTTGTAATTTCCCTCCCAGTACATAGATAGGACTGTTCTGAGGATAATTAACCCATTATGTTGTCATCATTATTCCTGTCCACCTAAGCATTTATTAGTGCAAATGGCACTCCAGTTCATGTTAATTAATGGATTAAGCCAAGAGAATGGTAATCTCTTATAACACTGATGTGATTCATTTTTTTAACAGTGCATTATTCTTTGTCTCTTTCTACCGTGGAGAAAGCCTCAATTGCCTGCAGAACAAGCAACCATTTTTCTCTTAGTCACTTAAAAGTTAAAGTCAAGAATTTGAGCTTCATTTGATTGTCTTAACCTTTTGTTTCCCAATCTCAAGTTTGCTTTTTACTTTACCTAGACAACTTAAGAATATTTTCAAATGTTTAAGAATTTTTTATTTCTGATTTTAATCTTACCTTGAAGTATTTGAGTGTCTTTCTGCAAATGCAATTTTAAGGTGATGTTGTAAATTCATAAGGCGTAACCTTTTAACTCCATACCATCTCTACCGATCACCATTCTGATTTATGTAAAATAATGTGCCTTCATATGGATAGAGTGCGTGGTTTGGCCAATTTTAGATATGGAGAAGTAACATCAGGAATGTGAATTGGAGTTAGAATAATATATATCAAGATTATTTTCATCACAATGTTGTACTACATGTTAACTTTTCAGACAATAACAGAATACTATGAAACTACGACTACTAGTACATCTGACTATGAGCAACCAGCAACTTCCAGACCAGCCCTGGCACAGCCAGAACCGGCAAAGCCAGTGGAGAGGAAGAGGGTCATCCGGAAGAAAGTGGACCCTTCAAAGTTCATGACCCCCTACATTGCACACAGTCAGAAAATGCAGGATCTTTTTAGCCCAGTAAGTTTCAAACAACTTCTACTAACCCTGTTTTATTGTTGAGAAATTACTGATCTCAATCAACTCTGTTTTGCATGCTGGCTGGATTTTGTTTCTCAATCTTGTATGAATCAAAAACTTATTTTGCAAAAATATAAGCTCTTGTGACTCTTGAATCTTCCTTTTATGCAACTCATTTGTAATATTATAGCATCAGAGAAAGTATTCTTATTAAAATCAATGAGATTATTTCTGCAAAATAAACATTATAAGGCAATTATAAAGCATTTAGTGGTGTTTAATCACTATTAGTTAGAAAGATGAAATCAGAAATATAAATTTAATTGAGGTCTGTTTAAGGAAACTACATAACATATATTTAAACTATGAGCAAAATAGCCTTTAAGTAGACTAGGTGACAGTATATAAAAAGGTCTCTAAGAGGTGTATGGTGAAGAAGAACATGTAGTTTAGAAAACCAAGATCAGGCTAAGAACTCATTTGAAATTGAATTGTGTGACTCTGCCTTAGAACAGTGGTTATTAACCATGGCTGCACATTGGAACCCCCAGGAGCCTTAAAACTACTGATGCTCAGGCCACTCTAGTTTAATTGGTCTGAGGTTGAGACCTGTGCACAAAGATTTTTAAAAACTGCCCATGTGATTCTAATGTGCAGCCTGGGTTGAGAATCCTTGCACTTGATGGCCCCTAGTCCTTAAATACACATGAATAGTCTATAAGGTACACTGATTGCCAGCAGATTTAGACCCATTTCAACAGACCTAATTTATTGATTGTCCACGTTAGGTTGAAGTCTTGCTGGGTGGCTTGATTGTGTGTCCTCTGGAGGCTTAGAAAAAGGAAAGGTAGCTCAGGGGAACACTGGATTATGTAGGACTAAATTTTGTGTCAAAAGCATCCTGTTGTGGTTGGTCAATAAATATTCACTTTTAGTTAAGTATTAACTCCTGGAGACTATTTGGTATATTTGCAGTTCAGAGCCTTGAATGATCTAAGACTTAGGTTTCTAAAAACAAAGTTTTCTTTCCTCCTTTATTGCTGCAGTATTCATCAAAGATAGAAAATGTTTTGAGTCAATTTATTGCCATAAAATCGCATTAATTCAGATGCTATGAAGCTAGAATTTCTGATATGCTAATCAGAATGTTGGCAAAGGTCTATAATATTTTTAAAGTGGTTAGTAACTAAGTCAATAGTATAATTTAGATAGTTGACTACTTCACTCAAGAGTACTCTTAAAGCATTTGTAATGATAATTATGCACATTATTATTAAAGCAAGAATCCATTGTGTAGTTAGCAGAAACAATAAAATTGCATTTCTTTACAAAATACTCTATCATTCAGACTTTCCATTAATTCAGCTAATGTCTCAGCTATCCAAACCACTGCAACTTCTGAATTAAAATTTTTTGCATTGTATTAGCAATCAAATCTTTTCAGACTTAACTCAATTTCTTCATTTATTTTCTAAAATAATTGAGGTTCAGGCTTTTTATATGTGCATTCAGACAAAAAAATAAAAACCATTGAGAGAATCATTTTAGGGCATTTCCAAGACAATAGTCTGTAATAAATTTGTATTGCTTCCAGGATCCTACCATGTTTAGGAAGAACAATTAAATCTATTTTAGTTTTTGCTGAGAGTCAGGGTAAGGGATAAAAAGAAAGCTATTACAATCGATAATTGTTATAACTTGGAGGATTTTTTAAAATCAGATAGGCATGCATATGTTGCCTGAAACTTCTGCTGCTGTCTTGTCAGGTTTTAGGCTAATTTCTGACATTCTTTTCAGAATAAATACAAGGAGAAGTTTGAGAAAGCAAAAGGACAGCCATACGCCAGCACAACCGATACCCCAGAACTTCGCAGAATCAAGAAAGTACAAGATCAACTCAGTGAGGTGGGCTGCACTGCTGAAAGAAAGGAGAGAGATACTTCAAAAACATGCCCACCACTGGGGATTGTGTAAATACGTGTAATGGGATCTAAATACGTGTAATGAGAATTAGGAGTTGAATTAATATGAGCTAGTCCAGAAATCTAGAAAAAGCATTGGCCGGAGATTATATTGCTGTCAATGAGAACCCAAAGAGACTTCTAAAAGCTTGGCTTAGCAAGTTAGCTTAAGAGAAGACTGTGAGGTGGAAACTGCAACCCACTGTGGTCCTCCATGTTGGAGCACAGCGAGGCCAAGGAGCAGCAGGTGGAAACTCAGCCAGGAACACAGACGTGCAGGTTTTCTGTGGATCTTTGATGATCACGGTTTTCTAGCTAAAATGCAGGAACTTTCCTTTGCGATGCACATGAAGAGTCGTTAAGTTAATGCTCTTTGGTTGTAAGATATTCTTTAATACACTCACATGTTTATGCCTGTTCTGAACTCTAATTGTGCATTATTTCTGCAGGTTAAGTATCGAATGGATGGCGATGTTGCTAAAACTATCTGTCACGTAGACGAAAAAGCAAAAGATATTGAACATGCAAAGAAAGTGTCGCAGCAAGTCAGCAAGGTAAGGCCATGGTATTGTCGGCTGGATTACTCCATAGCATGTGTAGTACCTTCGAGTTGTCTTAGAGGAGAAGACTGGATGGGCCCGGTCCTGCACACCAGGCCACGGGCAGTGTGAATCCAATGCCCACATATATCAAGGAGGCTGCACAGATGACTGAAGTGGCTTGTAAGAGCTAAGGGTGGAGTGAAGGGTCCATGCCCTGCCCAAAGAGGCAACTGTGGCTCAGCTCCAGGCAGTCACTGCACAGATTGTCACCAGAATCTCTTATTTATTTTTCTAAAGAAGTTGAGGAGCTAAATTTTCATGAAGAATTTCCAAATTTCAAATGTAGGCAACTAATTAAAAACATTTTAAAATACCATACAAATCAAAAGAAACACGTATGCCTGCCAAATTGAGTCAATGACTGATCGGTTGCAACCTTTGAAAGAAATCTATAGGGAATTACTAGAGACAATGTTTGGCTGCATATGGATTTTTACACATGTTTTAATAAATCAGTGGCCTCCCAGTAATCAAAGATGCATGATTTGGAACCGCTATGCTAGTCATTTTGCAGTAGAAAGCTGAGTGTGAGAGATCAGTCAACACTTATAGAAATGGGTAAATGACAAAATTGATAAGATCCCTGGAGTCACTTCTACAAATGCAGTTCTTCAATCAAAACGTCCAAGCACTTTCGTGGACTTGATAATGGAATTTTAAGCAAGGGCAAATTTGTATGTAAATTAGGTGCAACTGACTTCATTGTTTAAAAGGTTTTATTATATTTTCATAAAGAATAAGTATACTTCTGTTTTTCAGAACTCTGTCTTTTGAGGAGAATATCAATATATTTTGACTCAGTAGGGAAATACTAATGAATGTGGTTCTTGTAATACTTTCCTTAGGGGGGAAATGTCTTCTTGTCACAACCCTTCTCGAGGTTTTGAATTTTGAAGTTCATTCAATAATTACCATTAAATATTTTATTCATATGAGGTTCATCTGAAAAAAAAAAACAAAAAAAAAAGAAAAAAAAGAAATCTATAAGGAATTAGAATCATGATTTAGTTAAAAAAAATTAAAATTTTCAAACAAAAGCTTACTACTGCAGGAAAAGTATTGCAGGACATCAACATGGTCAATGTTTTCCTAGTAAAACACACTGGGGAGCCTTTGTGTGAGGACCCCTTGGCAGCTCTCCCTTTGCTAAGTCCTCATGCTCTTGGGTGAATCATCGAGCCGCAGATCCTCTGCTTTTTCTGTCTAGGTTTTATACAAGCAGAACTGGGAAGACACCAAGGATAAGTACCTGCTTCCCCCTGATGCCCCTGAACTTGTCCAGGCCGTTAAGAACACAGCCATGTTCAGTAAGGTAAGGGCTTCTGCTTCATCCCACGTCTATCTTCCTATGTCACCCCACCATGGACTTTAGAGTGACACTTGATGATCTGGAATACAGTTCCCCAAGCTTTTCGTGAGTAGCTTTGGGACATAGGGGACCGTAGCGGTGGAGCTTGGCAAAAGGAACTGTGAGGGAGTCTCCTGGGCAGGGTGGTGGAGAGAGTACTTCTGTGCAAGATGAGGGCGGGGAATATCTGGGGGAAAGGAAGATGCACCCGAGAAGATGCAGCTGAGAGATCCACAAAGGGATAGTTTAAATTTTTTCTGTAGACCCTGTGCTACCCTTGGGATACCCCTGGCCGTTCCTCTCATTAGAGGTTTATGTTGTGACGGACTCTATGTGAAGTGCTTCCTGGTTACAAGTGTAACTGCAGTAGCACTTGTTGCAGGAGGCAGGGAAAGTCCCAGAGAAGAGAGGAAACAAAATCAGGCACATCTGCCACTCTGAAAATAAGACCTGCCAGGAGAAGCAGGTCACGCTATTAATAAAAAAGACTTGGATTGGATGGAAAGGGGGAGGTTATCTGTGGATTTCACTTACCTTTGCTCTCACCTTGCCCTTGGTTCTTTATGCCATTGATGGATGAAATTCAACATTATGTATTTCGTGTATGCGTGATCGCACCTTCTCATAACTTTTCACTCTTTTCTGATTTAGAAACTCTACACTGAAGACTGGGAAGCAGACAAAAGTTTGTTTTACCCCTACAATGACAGCCCGGAACTGAGGAGGGTTGCCCAAGCCCAGAAAGCTCTCAGTGATGTAAGTGAAGCGTGCTTTGCACCACTTAGGTGTGCGGAGTTGGGAAAGCTTGAATTACAACTTCTGGCCAGATGTTCACTGCGATTGTTCTTTGGAAAAGACTAAATGCCATATGGCATAAGAGCACACCTAGAATCGATATAATTTATGATGTCTAATTTAAATTAGATATAATTTATACTTCATGTTAAATATAATTTAGTCTAATTCCCTCTTCTTGTAGGTGATGACCCTGAGTCTAAGGTTGCATAGATAGTTAGTGATACAGCTCAGATCTGTGATCCCAATATTCTTCCCACTATAGCATGAATCCTTCTTTCCCGTTGGCTCTGACTGAAGTAGTTCTGTGACAATAGAGTGACATTAAGAAAAAAAAAAAACTATTGGAATCACAGATACCTTTTCAAATCTATTAAATAAACAATGTTGTCAAAGGTTTCTGCCTTGCTATCCTAATCGTCAAGCTTGAATTCGGGTGCAGCTCCCTTTTTCTGCATGGGCGTCCTGACTGGTAGCCTCGTGTTTGAGTAGTTATCTCACAAAGAGCTCTTGCCATCAGTGCACATAGAGGATATTTCAGAGTTAGCAAAAAATCAATAGTCCCATTTGCCAGAATTTTAATATCCTAGACATTGAATATGGTATATTAGAGGAACTGAAAAGGCCTGATAGAGTCCTCAGGTTTGAAACCAGCGGTGGCAGCAGAGAGCCTCACTTGGGTTTAGTACTTCCCTTTGTTTTGAGGTACTTTATTGCTTGACTCTTGAATTTCCCGGAGGTCATATTGAAAATCCAGACCACTGCTCTAGTCTTTAGCAGAACTCTATTTTATAAAATGACAAATTATTTGACATACAATTGTCAGCTGGACCCCTAGAATCTCTTCTACTCAGCCAGATTTAACTAGCTAGTTGAGACTGATTAGGATTACTTCCAAAGGATCCTAGGGCCCCATCTTCTCCTGAACCAAAATTATACAGACTCATTGATGGTGTCTCTACCTTTTAGGTTTAATTTTTGTTGCCACTCATTCAATATTATCTGCAAGTTTAGCGTGCATATTTTCTATCCCACTTTCCATGTAATGTGGTTAAAATATGGCACAGATACATTCCTATCCTTCCATAAGTATGTTAGGAAATAGAGAAGGCATAACAAAATTTCGAAGTCATCTAGTACATGGTAATTTTTAGGGTGTGGGTACCTCTTGCTTTCAAGATTAGCTTTTCAGTTCTGTATCTCATGGATTCCTGATATTGTTGTGTGGTCTTTATCAAGTGATCAACAGTTACTTATTGGAAGTCCATTATGAAAGTCCATACCTGGCAGGTTAGAAAACTACTCCAAGAAGTTTTCATCCTTTCTTCTGAGAATTTGTAATCAGGCTGGCAAAACAAAAGTGTCATATATTAAACAACAAGCAAAAATTTAAGATCAAAACAAAGCCCAACAGTCTAATTCTTGCTGTGAGAAAGATAGGACCTGTGTGAGTAATCAGAGAAGGCCACGTGGAGGTGGTGATCCTGAGGGCATGGCAGGGGATGAAGAAGAAAGGCATTTAAAGTTGAGGGAGCCCTTGAAAAAGGGACAGAGGTGATGTTGAATCTGGAGTTTTAGGGGACAAAGGAAGTGAATGGCGTGGGTGCCTTGTTTGCAGGGCATTTCCAAAAATGCAGAGGCTGGAACTTGAAAATGAGATCAGTCATTTAAATGGATCAGAAGCATGATGGGGGCAAAGGAGAGGAAGAAAGGAGTCTGAAGGTAACAAGTATTAATGACATTGAACATCAGAGATGAAGGAGAGAAAGAAGCCATAGAGGAGTTTCTGACCATAGACCAGTAGTCTGAACAAATAGTGGCTCAGCTGGTGAAGATGCATTAATGGCGAGAGAAACAGAGTTGAGAAAATGGACGCAACATACAGATTAAAGCATCCTATGGATAAATTAGAAATTTGGTACCATTGCACAGCTGTGAGATCAGGACAAAAATGAATATTTGAGAGTCATCAGAACAAATGTGATAACTGAAGACAGGAAAAGGTACGAGAGAAGCAGAAGAGTGCACGGCCAAGGGCAGAGCTTGGGAGGACATCCACACTTAGGGCATCTGGAAAGGAACCAGCAAAAGGATGAGGGAACAAACAGAGAAGTTGAAGGGGGACCAGAAAATGCCATGTCATGTAGGCCCTGCGAGAGGTTTCCAAGAAGACACTTAATCGCCCACTGTCTCCCTTTATCCATAAAATGGAAGGAGAAAGAGTTGCCTCCATGCCATGCTAGTGCTGTGGACTTTGAAATGTTGGCCATGACTTTTGAGCTATGACAGTGGAAGACATAATGAAGAAGAATATACAATAATGCTGTGGAACCTTCCCCACCTTTCCTCAGAAGGACCTGGCAGTTAAGGCATAGCTTTTATTTTTATTGCAGACCAAGTATGCACTCAGTATCAGATTACTGCCATGCCTATTAATACTGTAGTCAGCACCATGAACTTCTATGCTTACCGGGCATAAGACCCTAAGCCAGCTGTTGTTCACAGAACATACCACTGGATAGACATGTAGATTTCTGGCTAAGGACTTGGGTTTAGAGGTTCTCTCTCCCTCTCCTGTACTTTCTTCCTGCGTCCCTCTTAACCTTAGCATGTTTCCCTTATTGGCTAAGTAGAGACTAACTATTAATACTTTGCACACGCTAAGAGAATCTTTAGGCTGATCCAGAGTACAGAATTTTAACTAGACAGAATTCTGAACAAGGTTCCTGAGAAATTAGGGCTTCTAGATCTGATTTCTCTGAAAGTTCTTGACAGGATGTCATACTTAATAAGCATTTGTCCTGTTCGAATGTTGCTTTCTCCCTAAGGACTTAGCCAGCCATGGAAAATCAAGTTGCCCTACGCCTAAAATAAAGTCTTTACTTACAAGAAGTTAAACAGCGGAATTTATACAAACACATTTTTAAATCTTTTGTATTCCAATTGATTTAATGTTCATGAAAGCTTTTGTTATAGATGCTGGGTAAATATTATTAGGGTAAAATATAGTTAGATTTGGTCAAAGTATGAAGATGATTGGGACCTTGGAATGATCCAACTTCTTTACTTTATAAATAAGAATTCTGCCACATGGAAGGAAAAGTAGTCTGTAGAATTTGTGTAGCGGAAGAGCAGGGAGGATAATTTTCCTTTTCAGACTACCGCTGGGGCCTCAGTGTATCAGACACACGTTCAGAAATGAATCATTGGTCCCTCGCTCTAGTCTGGTACTGTGCAGGCCACAGGGTTCCCAATGAGTGGACACATCCTCTGCCACGCCAGATTCACAGTTCAAGGAGGGACAGACATGTGAACAACCAGTTGCAGTGTCATCTGATAACTCCTTTTAAGAAGATAAGGGCCCACCTGAGTGAGACCCCAGGAGAAGTTCATCGCATCTGCTTCAGGAGTCAGGGAGGGGTCCGGAGGGGGCATCGTGCCTGTCCTGAGCTGTGAAGAGGGAGCAGCAACTTGCAGACAGAGGAGGAGAGGAAGTGTAGCGTGTGTGAGGTCCTGAGGCATTTGAGGGCTTCATGTGTCTGGGGACTCGTGAATAGTTCTGCATTGTGGGAGGCAGGGGTCACAATGGGTGGAAGAAAAAGCCAGAGGAGTCAGTAATGAAGAAAGAAATGAGAGCAGGAATGAAGTGGATGTATGAGTTATGGATACTGTATTTATTTGAAGGTGATAGATGGAGGCCTTTTATAGGGTTCAGGGAAGGGGCTAATGAAGAGGGAGAGGTGGAAGCTATGGGAAGGAGAAGGAACAACTGATTGAGCTGGGTATAAAAGAGGTGCCAGAGGGGATGGCACCTGGTGTGGGAGCCTTGTTCTGCGAGGGGCGGGCGTAGCAGGAGTGAGCATGGGCAGGAGTGAGACAGGTGCTTGCCCTCTCTTCACTCTATAGACGAGGAAGCTGAAAGTAAGATGGAGTTAATTGGGGACTTAAGGACAGTGTTGGGGTTTTATACTAGCCACTGGGAGAAGGAACCAACCAGAGACACAGCATGGGATGTTCAAGCTTCATCGAAGGCAAATGGACAATTGAAGCCACAGAGTATTGGGCACAGAGCCCTAAGCAGGCTGTTGTTCTCAGAACATACCACTGGGTAGGCATGTAGACTTTAGGCAAAGTGCTTGGGTTCAGAAGCTCCCTGCCTGGTACTTCTTCCCGCATCCCATTTAACTATATTTACCGTGTTATCACTGCTCAATTCATAGAGTTGTGTGTTTTTTCTTCAGTAGCATTCAGCATCCTGGGTATAAGAAACAGAGGAAGTAGATGGTTGAGTTGATCCAAAGCTGAGGGTTTGTTAAATGGGTGTGAAAAAAAGACGAGAGATCGGGAGTCAAGGATACTGGTTAAAAGAATAATTGCTATTACAACTCATGGTATGGAAATGTATGGGAGGAAATAGGTCTAGGGCTATGAGTCGTGCAGAGGAGGGAAAATTCAAAGAATTAGAAATCACTAGTAAGACTGAGAGCAAGGGCATGTCACATCTATGAAGATAAATTATGGTTACGTGTTATATTTTTGAAGTTTTAAAATTTAAGACTTCAAATAAAGATGAAAATACAGTGTTTTTCAAAAATGCCAACAAATGAGACATGGGACATAAATAATTTTCTGTGGCTCATGAGCGCCCCTGTCTTATTTTTTCAGGTTGCCTACAAAAAAGGTCTCGCTGAACAGCAAACTCAGTTCACACCTCTGGCCGATCCTCCAGAGATAGAATTTGCCAAGAAAGTAACCAGACAAGTGAGCAAGGTAAGCAAACAGAGCTGGGACATTGTCTCCCTTCAAAGCCCTGCCTAATCATTTCAGCCATCAGAAAAAGTAACTAAAGGCAAACCTAAAGACAGAACATAAACACTAAGAGTATTTTTACATATGACCCCCAAAATCTCTACAGCAAAAGCAATACACCCATGAACATCACGAACTCTGTTAATGAATGTATAGCCAGCTTGATGACTCGGTAATTAAAAAATGTGAAAGCTACCTTTTGAAAACAGAACTTATGTCTTAATGTCACTTGACATTCTTACTTCTAAGAGTTCTACTAACAGAGTAGGCAAGTTAACCACACCCTTGCATGAGAATCTGGTTTAATTCAATGTGAAGACCTCATATAGCTGGATACTGTCAGTCAGACTTGGACAATTCAGAAAGCACGAGTGGCTCCCAGACAGAGTTTAGCTGACAGCAGTGGGCAGTGCACCGCGTAACTTTTAAAGCCCTAGCAAACGGCTTAGTCTGCCTATATTTAGACTGGTAAACTAGCTCTGAGGAATGCAGCCCTGTCAAGGAATGCAGAGAGACAGATGTTCAACTGATGAAAATGCCCATGTTAAATTCCTATTTTACATTGGTCTAAACCAGGCCACTTTCTCCTGGGATTTTGCTGCTTTTAAATACCTTTCTTTGCCCTCTCTGGAGCTGAGTCTCAGTTTGGTTGTCTGCTTGAATTTTGATGGAATTTCAAGATTTCTATCTTGTTTAAGTATTTATTAGGGAAAACATTTGTCTAGCAGAGGAAAAGGAAGAAAAGATATGGATGATACATCTATCTGGTGATGATTTTTAGCATCTGATATTGTACATTGCCTAACTGTGTAACCAGGGGCTATTTGGATAAGGGATCTAGTAAGTATAATAAAATTTCAGTAATAGAAATCCCGCCAACCTGAAATATTGCCCAGGGCTAAGCAGAAATTAATTTTAGAACTGCGCATAAAGAGATAGTCTACTGAAAGTGTGGACATTGTAAATAAGATAGGGGAGAAGGACAATTTATCTTTTTGGAAGAAAAAATAAAAAGGTGTTTTCAAGTGGTCATTTAGTAAGAAAAAGTAATCTATTTTTCAATTTTTATTTAAAGAGTATTTTAAAAGATATCCTTTACCTTATTTGAGTATGCAGTATAGGTACTTAAAAGTGATTTTTAAAAAATCACTTTGTTAGTCCTCTATAATCATTCTCTCCAGCGATTTAGACTTGCCAGACAGCTTAGAGCTGTTCTCTTCAGTATCGTAGTGACTAGCCACACATGACTAGTGAGCACTTGAAATGTGACAAGTACGAACTGAGTATATCAGTGAGCTTAGGCTTCTCTAAAAAAGTACCTACCACAGGCAGGGTGGCTTAAACAACTGACATTTATTTCTCACAGTTCTGGAGGCTGGAAGTCCAAGATCAAACACTCACTTTCTGGTGAGGGCCCCCCTTCCTAGTTTGCAGACAGCCACCTTTTCGTTGTGTCCTCACATAGTGGAGACACAAGGGGAGCTCTGGTCTCTTCCTCTTCTTACAAGGACACTAATCCCATCATGGAGATCCCCCACCTTCATGACCTCTTCTAAACCTAACTACTGCCCACCTCTAACTACCATCACACTGAGGGTGAGGGCTTCTACATATGAATTTGAGGGTGACACGAAGTTCATCCCACAACATTCAGAGTCCTATATGTGAGACATGTATACTGGATCCTGAATACTTAATATGAAAAAAAATGTGAAAAATAGCTCATTATTTTTGCATTGATTACTTGTTGGAATGTTAATATTTTGTATTCTACTGAGTTAAGTGAAATACATTAGTAAAGTTCATTTCCCACCTGTTTCATTTTACATTAAAAAAAAATGGCTACTAGGATGACTTGTATTATATGTCCCTTGTACTGCACCACTCTAGTTAGGTCAGGGGACAGTGCTGGGTACTTTGAAAGCATTGCCAGACCTGGGTTTGCCCTTGTGGAATAATAATATGAGCTAAAGGGGAGGGTGACTGTGGATGAAGGTCACCAGATTTGGCCATGGTGACATCATTCATCTCAGTCTTACCTGGATTTCAAAGTTCCTAATGACTACTATGCATCCAAAATAACAGTCATGCTGGCGAGCAATGCTCATGATAGGTAGAAGTCCATCCAACAACAAACCGAGAGTGATTTATCTGTGGGACTGTCTACCCTTCTCTTAAATTCTTCCCCACTCCCAAGCAGCTTTGACCCATGTTTCAGCAGCAGCTCTTTTTTCTCTCCAAGACAGATTTTTTAAAAAATCTCTTTTATCTTCTCATGCTCATGCATTTGAACTCAGCATTTTCTTTTGGAACTGTGTCTCCCAAATCCATCCTTTGTCTTACAGCTTTCAGTTCAGATAGTAATGATCACATATCTGCAATGATTATATTAATGTTGCATTCTGTTTACCAGCCTTCTTTGCTATATACTTGTCAGAATTAATTTTGTCACCTTGGTCTTTGGCCAAAGCCATCAGCTATGTGCCAGCAGTGCCTCCTGGCTCAGCTGCGTTTTGTGGCTCTAACATAGATGAGTGGGCAGAGTTGTTCCTATGAGCAGGCACTGCAGGTGAGGAAACAGTGCACACCGTGATCAGCCGAAAGTGGGGTCCTGAATGCAGCTTTGGGAAGTCCCTCTAGTGTCTCTGTGCCTTTTCTCCACTCCCCTCCAGATTCACAGTAGGAAAAACATAAGATTTCAGGTTGGAGTTTCTGGTTGATATCCAACTGGAATTTAGAATTAAAAAAAATTTTTTTTCAATGACATATTGTTGCACAGCGTGAAAATGCCAGGCTCTGATCTTCTGAAACCATGAAAACTCTTCTACCATGTAGGATTAGGGAGACTCCCATTGATTTCACCAGAAGAGATTCAACTGAGACAAGAAGGTAGCCCTGGGCCCACTGTGGGCAATAAAAATACCAGTTGGGACCCTTTATGTTCATTCTGAAAGGATACCTTTTCTATGAATGGAGCCATCAGGAGTCCCATTATTTAGCTACTCACAGAAAAAAGGGAAGGGTGATTAAGTGGCTTCATATTTTTTCATTTGATAACTGCAGAAAAACTACAGATGCAAGCGAGGAAAGCAGAAAATGAATCCCTGTGTTTACATAACACATTAGGTGCCTGGTTCGTGGCCCAATGGAAGCCCCTCATCTGCCTCCAGGCAGAAGGGACCACAGTTCAGGGAAGTAATCTCACTATAACTTACCAGAGACAGTGTCCCCGAGCTTGTAATTGACTCCATGTACTTTTCTCTGATAAATAAACCAAAAAATTCAAGAAAAACTTAACTTGATTCTTTCCTCAAGATTTCCATTGGTCAACTCCAAACACAACACAGCTGGAGAGAAGCATTAGGGGGAAACCCTTGGGGTTGGGGTTGGGGGACAGTTGGAGGCTGGACCCCTGATATAGGTAACATGTTTCCTTATACTGCCAGACCTGCAAAATGTGACCCCCTGGCTGGCGGAGAGGGTCCCACTGGGACATCTCCCTCTCTCTTCCTCTCACTCCTCTTGCAGTTTGCCCTTTCTGCTTCTCTCCTACCCACAAATGAGAGGGAAATCCATAACTTCCTCAGTAGTTAACAAGCTCCAGCCTCGTCCTGTGCAGCAAACATCTTCCCAGACCCCGTAGCACTCAGGAGTGGATTGTGAGAGGTCCATCTTTCCCCTGACCTCTGTCGGCTGCTGGGTAGTAGGAAATATCGAGTTGTGGTTCGTGAACGTTAAGAAGGGAGAAAGGACTTTGGATGTGGGTCTTGGGTGGTCTTACACTCTTGTTTTGCGTATTGTTTTAATCTCTTTAAAAAAAATCAGACATTTATCTCTCACTGCGAGAATTTCCTACTCCGTTTTCCTCAGCAAATCTACATATGTGACACCTATTTCTGTAACAGCCCAATGTTTGGACATCCTTAAGAATATCTGCTGCCTTCTCGACTTTAAATTATATTACAAAGTTCTCTTTGGTATGCGTCAGGCTCAGTTGCCCCTTCCCAATCCTAGAGTTTTCCTCCTTTGACAGCAAGTGGGAGGAAAGGCAGCTTCCTCTAAAAATAATTATAGGTCAGGAAATCTCAACCTGAGGTATGTGTACATCAAGAAACTCTGAAGCTTTAAGTATTTGTGGACATTTTATAGCTTGTCAGATTCCTGAAGAGGTCTGTTTCCCAAAAAGATTAGACACACTTCTATAGACAGCCTTAGCAAATCTCAAAATCAATTTTATTGACTTCAATTCTTTAAAGCTTCAAAAGAAGAGGGTAGATAAATTAATTGGCAATATAATGCAAACCTTATCTCAGCAAAGATTTCCATGGAAGAATTGTCCTCCCCTGACATGTACAAATTTCTTTTTTGCAGAGTTTCTGTCTGTAATGATAATGATGATGATGATAATTATTTTTACAATTATTAAACCCAACATTTGCTTAACACTGTGAAGTTTACAAAGCACTCTTTGGTATGTAATCTTATTAAACCACCAGCAGTCCCCTGTGTAAATATTATTGCCAGCACTTGTGGCTGACATCACTGAAACTTAGAGAGGCTAAATCATACCTTTGTAATGATGGAGTTGAGTCTTGGGCCCACAGTTTCTGAACTCAGGCCCAGGGCTCTAAAATTTATAGCTATAACAGTCACTTGACTATTAATTTGCATATTAACTTTTTGAGAAAAAGGAAAAAGAGCATTTCAAAGAGGGCTGGGCTTCCTTGAACTCTAAGTCATTGGCTATGTCCCTCACTCACCTTTAGTTCTTGTTCTGTTGAAGGTCTACCAGAAAACCTCTTTCTTTTTCCTTGAAGGGTATGTTGGAGTATAAACATACAAACACCTTGAGACCCATTGTTTATGTCTACATAGTTATGTGTTTATGTTTACTGTTATGTGTTTAACACATTTCGATAAGCCACGGAGGAAAAATTGTTCTAACTCAGCTAGGGTTCTGGTTGATGGGCTCAGGTTTGGGGTTGGCTAGGTGAATTCCATTCCAAGAACACCTAGGCCAAGGTAGTTCAATATCCTGTATCATGGTCTCAGTTCAGTTTAGTGTGTGTACTTAAACAAACATTTATGAGGTAACATCTGCATGCTGCATTTTGTGTTAGATTCTGAGGATATGAAAATGAAGAAGACATAACACCTCTCTTCAAGGAGTTTACAGCCTGGAGTTGGGGTGGGTGGTATTTGGGAGCAAGATGAAGCAGTAGTTCAATTTTTAAATTATTTTCCAGTTCCTATGAAATATCTTTAAGTCTATACTAGAGGGTCTTATTTATTAGCCTCCAAATCAAATTTTATTGTGATTGCTGCTTTCTAGATAACTAGGGGTTTGGGTAAAGCTTAGCGATTAATGGCTAAGTTCATTTGGCATGGAAATCTCTCTGTATTCACCCTCATCCAACTTTCTTGTTGAGTAAATTGACACTGCACTGGAAGATTTTTTGAAGATGTCTATTAAGGACCTAAGAATGGCCTGCTCAAGATATTTTTTAAAGTTAATCATTCTTACATAATTTGTTGTCTTATTTGTCAACTCCTGGGTTGTGCTTGTCTTATTGTCTTTTCTTTTCTTTTCCTAGCAAAAATACAAAGAAGACTACGAAAATAAAGTCAAAGGCAAATGGAGTGAGACACCTTGCTTTGAAATGGCGAACGCCAAAATGAATGCTGATAACATAAGCTCAGTAAGTAGGAAGGGGCTGCTGACATCCTGGGAGGGGGACCCCTTTCTTTAATGACTTCTCACCACCTGCTGTGCCTAGAGTGGGCCCAGAACATGTGAGGCCCCTCTTCTCAGGGACAAGACCTGGTGTGGAGATCCGGTTAAGAAAGAAATTTCACAAACTCTCATTTCCTTTGAGAAATATTATTTTGGCCAAATTCCTAATTATTTCTACCTCAATTTTCATAAAAGCAGCCTGGCAAGACCCTGTCACTGACTGCAAAGTATAGTTAGTACAAGGGACTCCTTTAATTTGTGCTTTGCCTGGGGAACCAAGCTGTACATTTTCAAAATATATAGTTTCTTCTCACTGGAAATCATAAGTCTAATTATTGTTTTTCCTTTTTCTTAAGTTCTCTGCTCCTGGCCTTCAAAAGGTCTTTCTTGGTGGCCAAGAAAAGCCTTTCTAATTATACTTTCAGCCTATTCTAATTGTTCTAAATCTCTGTTAAATTGCTACCCATTTTTGCAATGGTACCACGTTCTCTAATTGTATTCTAATCTGCCTAAACCCAAAGGAGTGTGGTTTTGGGTAGCTTCTCCAAATCCCTGTGTCTTCCCATGTAAACCCTTGCACAGTGTCTTTTCACAGTAGTCCTCAAGTATGTTTAATGTCTTGCAGAGGAAATACCAGGAAGATTTTGAGAACATGAAAGACCAGATCTACTTCATGCAAACTGAAACACCAGAGTACAAAGTGAATAAACAAGCTGGAGTGGCAGCTAGCAAGGTATGAAGGAATTGTTGCCTTTACCTTAATTGTTTGAGTGGGGGTGAATTTCTTATAACTCTGGATCTTGTACCATGTTTCCCTGACATCCTGGGAGGGGGACCCCTTTCTTTAATGACTTCTCACCACCTGCTGTGCCTAGAGTGGGCCCAGAACATGTGAGGCCCCTCTTCTCAGGGACAAGACCTGGTGTGGAGATCCGGTTAAGAAAGAAATTTCACAAATAAGACAGGGTCTTATATTTACTTTTCCTCAAGAAGACACCCTAGGGCTTACTGTCAGGTGATGTGTTATTTTTTTTAAGTACGGTGCAGCAATCTACATTGGTTCAAATATAGTTAAGTCGTCTTCTTCTGGAACATCATCATAACTCTCCAAAGCCTGAATTCCATCCTGAATTTCTTACGACTCTATTTCCTTCAGAGCCATTGGCCTCAATCTCTCATGTCAGGCAATAGAGCTCTCATGGGGCAGATGAGAGGGCTGCTTATCTTCTTTACCGCTCTGAGATGAAATGCATGGGTTGTGTAGATACACTGTGTAGCCATGCCCATCACTAGGTCTTATTTTAGGGGTAGGGCTTCTATTGGGCAAATGCTTAGAAATCCTGCTAGGGCTTATTTTATGGGTAGGTCTTATTTTCCGGAAAACACGGTATATAATGAACATGGGAAAGGTGGATGGTCCTTGGGGGAATTACCAAGGTTGAGACTAATGGATCCCAGGCATTTGAAAAAGAGTAGAATTAAAACAAGAACAACAACAAAAAAAGTACTTTGGAATTATAATAGGGCTACTCAGATTTTTTTATTTTGTCATGTATGGACAGTAACAATACCTAAGTACTATCATCAGTATTTCATAGAGTAAAGGGCCTTTTGTTATCCAGAAGTAGAAAGGCTGTAATCTCAGGTAGCAAGACTTCTTTCCCCAGGAAAAGACAATTGGCAGCCTTCTACAAAAATGGGCACTTTCACACTCAACACTATGATTACTTTTTTTATTTTCCCACTCACTAAGGAAAAACTTGGTCACAGACAAGGTTCATAAATCCAAGGATATCTTCGTATGTTCTACAGAGTGACTTTGGTGAATAGTCTGACTCCTTGGCATTCGAAAGCAGATGGTTGCTAAAAAGAGCATAAACTTTGAAGCCAACCACACTTGGTTCTAATCCTGGCCTGGGCCCTACTAGAGGAGAGAAACCAGGATTACATCACTTGGAAGGCTATTACAGTGTCCAGGTGCAAGACAGTGGTATTTTGTACCAGGAGGGTAACAGGGCAGCTGATGAGAAGTATTTTTGAAAAAAGAGTTGACTCAATTTGCTGATGGATTGGATGTGGGGTATAAAAGAAAGGTTTTGATCTGAGCAGTTCAATGAATGGGGTTTCCCTTTATTGAGATAGGGAAGGTGGCGGAAGGAGTGGGTAATTTTTTTGGAGGAGAAACAGAAGCTCATTTTCAGACATGTTAGATTAGAGATGCCTTTTAGACATCCAAGCGGAAATGTTGGTGGTCAGTTGATGATATGGGTCTGAAATGTCAGGGAGACATGTGGGAAAGCTGTATAAATTTGGGAGTCATGGGCATGCAGAGAGTATTAAATGTCATGGCACTAGAGCATCAAGGGAGTGAGTACAGATAGAAAATGCCAAGAACTGAACCCTGGAACCCTTCCATATGAATGTATCAGCAAGATGGGGTAGGAGCAAAGTTAGGAGAGCACAGTGTCTTGGGAAGCAAGTCAAGGGAGAAAGGAGTTGTCAAATGTTTCTGAAATGGATGTACTGATGTCTGCTCTCTGGTGACCTTAACAAGAGCAACTTGGTTGGGTCCGTTTGGAGAAGGTTCATGTGCATGAGAAGAGAGAAATTGAAGACACAAGTATATTTAACTCTTTCAAAGTATTAAATATTTTCTGGTAAGAAAAGAAGAAAATTGGTAGTAGCTGATGAAAGGTGGGGAAGAGAGATTTTTTTAAGTTAGGTAACAAAAATGCCATGTTTCTATACTGACGGAAAAAATCCAGCAGAGCAGGAAGATTTGGTAATGTTGGAGAAGGAAGAATGGCTGGGGCAATGTCCTTGAGCAGGTGAAAGGGGAAGAGATCTGGTGCTTAAGAGGAGGGGATGGCTTTGCCACATTCACTGACAGTTTATCCATGTGACAGGGGAGAAGGCTGCCCATCCCAGATGCAGGTAGGGGGATAGTAGGGTTTGTGTATTTCCCTTCTGGTCATTTTCATTTTTCAAGGCAATATACAATTCTATAAGGTAGAAAGATTATTCATGTCTTCCATTCCCATGGAGTATCCCCTGTGGTCCTCTGTGTGGGCTGCAGGGTTGGAGCATCTGTGTTTCAACTGTGTATCTCCTGCCCTTGCATAGCAAGCCGATTGGCTTTGTTTTCTGTAGTCCTTCAATGTTGGATTTATCTAGGATTCCTTGAACTTCTGCGGTTATGTTGCCTGTATAAATGGCTCACACGGGGGCTTATGGTCAGAACCAGAATCAGTTTCTTGTTCTAATCCCTGTGGGTAACCCCACCCCCCTCCAAATTACTGCTTCTGCCATAGCAGGGACTAAAGGTGCAAAGTTGGAAAGGCAGAAGGAGAAAGTGGGGCTGCCCCCATTCATCCCAGCCCAGCTCCCTCCTCTTCCTCTTGCTCCTACAGTAAAGGTGTGTGTGCTCTACACAGGCACAGGTGAGGCGTGCAAGGGTGGTTGGGGGTGCTTCTAGCTTCCTTTCTTTAAAAATGTGTCCAGAGATAAGGCAGCTGGGGGTTAAGAGCTAAGTAAAGGCTCTGCAACAGCAGGTATCTGAGACATGGTGAACTGTCATTACTTTGTATCTTTTTCTTTCCTGTTACTTATGTATCTCTCTCTCTCTCTCTGAGGGCAGGGACCAGGTGTTACTCTTTCTTGTATCTGTCCCAGAGCTAGGCTCACAATCGACACCCTGTGGATAACTTTGAATGAATAAATGAATGGGAAGAAAATGCATCCTGGAAATTTATGCAGTTTTTCAACTGCTGTTATGAGTTACTATGAGTATTTTGTTGGTAAAATGTCAAGCTGCCTTTTTTTCTAGAGAGAAAATTGATTTGTGAACTATGTCATAATATCCATAATAGAGACAAGGACAAAAATAACCTGTAGAGTTATTTTATCACTTTATTTCACTCCTACAGGTAAAATACAAAGAAGACTATGAAAAGAATAAAGGGAAAGCAGATTATAATGTACTTCCTGCTACAGAGAACCCACTGCTCAAGCAGCTGAAGGTGGCAGGAAATGCCCTAAGTGATGTAAGTTTATTCTTGTCAAAAGTGTTTTTTAGGCCTTAGCTGCAAGAGAGATGAAACTTTTCTCCTTCTGTAATGACTGAATGCATATATAACTTTGCAAATACTTTAGGTTATGGAGTGGCAGTTTCATTGGAACCATGTAAACACAAGAAAGCATGAGTGACTCTCAATATGACGTGGGTGAGCCATGGGTTTAGTTCGATGGGCAGAGAATTCCTCATTTGCTCATAAGCTCCAGGTACCTGGACCTCCCTATGGGCAAAAAAGCACATTGTAGGTGTGTTTTGATTTTGACAGCGGCAGACGGAGACATTTAAAGATAGATCTTGGCCTGAGAAACCATCATTTGCAGACAAAGAACTTGAAAGATACTTCCCTAAGTCCTCTCAGGAATTTCTACTTGTGGATTCGTTGAGAGCCTGGCTAAGCCATTAGATTGGAAATAAATTAGATAAATGAGACTGGGCCTGGTATTAAAAGACTGTCAGCCTGAGACCAATATGTGTGTGTGTGTGTGTGTGTGTGTGTGTGTGCATGCACAGAGAGAGAGAGTAAGAGACAGAATCACTTGAGTCTTTCTCTTATGGTTAGGTTTGTATTAAGCTTTCCCAATATTTGAGGATTTTATGTAGCTGTTTGAGTGGGTTAGCTGTCTTTTCCTTGTCCCTTGAATTAAGTCAGCTCCGTAGGAAATGTGTGGACGAGATAGGTGGGGTGAAGTGCCAGGCGAGAAGGTGTAATGGTCTGTCCAAACAGCTCTGCTGGGAAATCAATGCCAAGCACTCTGCTTTCTAAAAGAAAAGCATCTTTATCAGACATATAAAAGCCTAGGTTTAAATTTACTGTGTTGATAAAGACAGAAATATACAAATATTAAAAACGAATAATGTCATTTACATTTTGAAAACACCAAATGAAAAAGTAACCATGATCTGCTGTATCCGTTGTATATTTAAAACCAATAGTTTGCTCAAGCTAAAGATAAATCCTAGCAGAGAAGAAGAGTTCATAATAGCTCATGGCTTGAGTTCTTGTGTATACTTTATTTTTAATTGTATAATTAGACATTTTTTCCCTTGGTACAAGGAGGAAGACAAAGAGTATATATTTCTCAACCTATATTAACATTTTCATGAAGTTTTTGTTTGAAAAAAAATAAAATAAATGATTTGCTGTTGATCAAAATCTCCATGTTTGTTCTGGCTCAATCAGTGAGGGAAGAGCATGTGAGCTGAGAGACAGAGAAGGCAGCAATTCTGGATACACAAGAATCTCTGCAACTAAAGGCTTGGTCAGAGGTGGCACATTGGCTTCTTAATTTTTTGAGAAAATGGCAAACTTAGGCTTTACAATAACTGCTAATAGAAAAGTCTTATGATTCATGACACCCATGTTAGGTTGTCAGTTTTTAAGACAGTTGACAGCCGATAGCTTTTCTTCTTCTTTTGTTTAGTGTTGGAAAATACGAGTGTTATAATCAGCGTGGGAGTGACAAGAATCTACTTTAACTGATTTTTTCCTTTGACAGAAACTATACAAGGAAAACTATGAAAAGACGAAGGCAAAGAGCATGAATTACTGCGAGACCCCCAAATTCAAGCTTGATACAGTTCTACAGAACTTCAGTAGTGACGTAAGCAGTCTCACCGTCATTCCTCTGTTAAAAAAAAGAGACCCATCATTTCACCAATTAATAAATGAGTTATGTTTTGTCTTTCAGACTAAATATAAAGATTCCTACTTAAAGAATATTTTGGGACATTATGTAGGCAGCTTTGAGGATCCGTATCATTCACACTGCATGAAAGTCACAGCTCAAAACAGTGATGTGAGTTCCAAGACAATTGTTTGATTTTCCAAATACATTTTGGGGCCATAAATGCAATGGTTGCATCCTCACGTCTGATTTCTTTTCCTCATAGAAAAACTACAAAGCAGAATATGAAGAAGACAAGGGCAAAGGCTTCTTCCCCCAGACCATCACTCAGGAATATGAAGCAATCAAGAAACTAGACCAGTGTAAAGACGTAAGTCTGTTGTCTGAACTTTGAATATCACTGCCCTCCATAGCATCTAGTGCTCAAGATATGTTTACAATTTTTACACTTTTACAAATAAACGGAAGCATAGGAATTATAAGAAACAAAACCTACATTTCGTGCTATTTTCCCTTGTTGGCATCCCTCTGTTGCAACAGTTAATTGTAGCTCGACTTCCCAAAGGAGAGTTATCAGGAATTTGAAGAGATAAGAAAATTTCTCATTGAGCTGTAAGAGCACCGCTCAGAGAAACTGCAGTCTAGTTAGGAAAAAGACAATAAATGTTTTATTAACTACAAGATTCTTTTCCTTGGGGGAATGGGGTTCTTGGCCCACAGGCCACCTTGCGTCTGACAGATGGCAGTGCTAAACAGACTCCTTGTCTCCTCACAGCACACCTACAAAGTTCATCCTGATAAGACGAAATTCACCCAAGTAACTGACTCTCCAGTTCTGTTGCAAGCCCAAGTCAATTCCAAACAACTGAGCGATGTAAGTTCCTCTAAATTAGCCAGGAAATCCAATTATGAGGGAGGACATTTCATAACTCTATACACAAAATCCAATGACTTGTCACATTTATTTTTAAAGAGGCTAAGTTTTAGCAAGTTTAACTTGTATATATTTGTAATCACCTAAAATATTTTCCTAGTTCCTTGCCTTCATCTTAGGCAGATAGCATTATAGTAAAATGATTCTGTGAAGGAAACTAATGTAGCTGAAAGCATTGGTAAGAACGTGAATTCTAGTGTCAGACAAAATCACATTCAAATTCCAGCTCTGTCATGTAAGTTCTGAGTGGCCAAATGATTTAACCTCTCTCTGCCTCATATTTAACTCCCTTTTATAATTTATGGCTGGTCTTAAGATTAAGCGAAGGGAGACACATGCATAGCACACACCCTGGCCCAGAGCAGGTATTCAGTACCTGCGTTTCTCTCTCCCAAATACACATTTCTGGAAAATGGAGTCTTTGAGACAAGTTTTCCCATATAAGTGTTAAGTATGGATTTCCAAACTTGCATTGAACAGAAAGAATAAAGTAACCTAAATAAGTAAAGTAAAGAATAAAAGTAACCTCAGTAGATCAATGGCTAGAAATGAAGGCTTCAATTTGAGAATCAACAGCCATGAGGTGTGTGAGTGGACACGTACCAGATTTGTTACGAAAAGTTCTCCAGTAGGGGAGCACTGACGATGAAAAGCAAGACAGGGCCATGTCTCTTTCAGAATCTACAGGGCCAACTGGGCTATACTGGAGGGTGTACGAAAGAGCCACCTTATACCATTAGGGTCCTACCATGGTGACAGGTGTCCTACCATGGTGACAGGTGTCCAGCACAAAGGTTCAATAATACAGGGTGACCTCCTCAAGCTGTCAATGTCTCTTTTGATCTTAACAACTTTGTCAGTTGCTTTACAAAATGTGCCGCATAAGAGGTTTTGTATTTTGGAACCATTCTTCTTCTGAACTAATATTCTCTCTCTCTCTGTCAGCTAAATTACAAAGCAAAACACGAGAGTGAAAAGTTCAAGTGCCATATACCCCCTGATACTCCTGCTTTTATCCAGCACAAAGTCAATGCCTATAACCTGAGTGATGTAAGTCCCTTTCATGCTGTACCTTGTGATATATTGACAACTTATGCTTTTATTTTTTAATTGGTTCATTGCTATTCAGTGAATATTTTAATGCTAAAATGGGAAGAACAATTAACATTTGTATCATGTTCCTATGTCTCTGCCGATATAACTTTGAATTCACCTTATAAAATGTGTGCGGCAATCTTACAAGTAGTTTCATACAATTAGATAATCTTAATATGTTTTATCTATCCCTCAAAATAGCACCATTCATGTAGGCTTAATTGCAAATCTGAATCTTTTAGCCATATATTCATTTTTATTATACTATAATTCTTTTTTTTTCAGGACCTGATTTTTTACATACAATTTTATTTCATTTATTCCCCAGGCTTATAATGTTCCTTATTTCATGGAAATGATACTTATTTCTATATGTAAGAGAACTTGCACTAATGAAGATATAGAGTATGTAAAGGGCAGAAGGCCAGCTATCCATTACTATCTTTCATTTTTCAAACTTAATTTTATAGAAAAGTCAAATTACCCTTGGGGATCTCAATTTCTTCAACAATTCTATAAATGAATACCAAGATTATCCAATATTAATGAGTATTATATTGACTCACAAAATAGCCTCAGAGATCAAATGAAAGTAATGCCTTTATATCATGAAAGTATGTTAAGTATAGAATATTTGCGCCATTCTATAAAATATTCAATGTTAGAAATCAAATATTAGTATGATAACTAGAATTAAGTTCATTTGATGAAAGATTCTAATAGAGAGTAGAGAAGCCTGATCTTGGAGAATTAGAAGGTCCAGCTTGAGGAGAATTATCTAAAATATGCATGATTTCCTGGACATTGAAAAGGACCTGTTTATGTTATGTTAAGACAAGATATTTAGTTACCTTTTTAGTCTCTAAGGTGATGACATGCATTATCACTTTTGCCAATTCCTTTGCTCAAATTTCTCCTGTCCAGAATATTTACAAGGAAGACTGGGAGAAGAGCAAAGCCAAGAAGTTCGACATTAAAGTGGACGCCATCCCCCTGCTGGCAGCCAAAGCCAACAGCAGGAACGCCAGTGACGTGAGTGTGGCCTGGGGACCTGGGCAGGGCGTCCTCAAGGACGACTTTTCCTGGTGAGTGGGACCTGGCACGTGTGATGTCTTTGCAGGTGATGTACAAGAAAGACTACGAGAAAAACAAAGGGAAGATGATTGGAGCCCTCAGCATTGAGGACGATCCCAAGATGCTGCACTCCTTGAAGACAGCCAGAAACCAGAGTGATGTGAGTGTCTTTGCAAATCTGTGTCATTTTTCAAATGTGGACACACTTGCTGTTCAGTATATAACCTGGCTAGGATGTTAGCCTAACTGACACCTCAGATTCAGGATGACAAATCAAACGTGAAACCTTTACCCAGGTGGTAAAGGAAGGTGAACTTCTTCATTCTTGTTGATGTCTCTGTACTTTGAGATGCCAGTGAATATTGCAACAGTGGGCTTAGTCTCCTTAATGTCCTCTGTTTTACTAGAAGAAAAAAAATGTATTAGCAATATCATTTTCTTTATTGTTTGTCCTAGAAATGAGATCCATATCTCAGTATGTATAAGTATATAAATAGGTGCAAGTATGTATTCATTTAATGTCCTGAACTGGTTGAGGTAGTTTACAAAAACATATTCAGAAAATAAAAAGTGGGAAGTGAGAAAACCAGTTTAAAGACAAATAACGTAGGAAAAACTAGATGAAGCATAAGCTCCAAAGTGAAATATTTTATTTTAAGAATCTTATAAAATATTGCTCTTATTTTGAAGACCTTAGACTATTTATTAAAAAATAAAATAAAACTCTTCACAGGAATTGCTTTTCTAATTCCTAGCCCCCCCAAAAGAAATACTGCCTATCTGTCCATATATTTACAAGTATTCTTGTCTTTATTGAGTCCATTTTTGGATTTCTATATGAGAGAAGTAAAAAAGAAAGTGAAGAAATATATAATACATAAAATGAAACAAAAACCTCTTCATGTATTATTAGTACTATAAAGAAAAATGTTAGGCATTAATGATAAAAGCCAACTTCCAGAGATATTGTAAAATGTATTTTCACCAAGTACTAAACTGAGTACTTTTCTAGGACTATGCCTAGGTGTTTAAGGTCCACCTTACAGCTTATGCTTCATTTTGCACCCAATTCATTTTCCTTAAAAAAAAAAAAAATTCACTTTCCTTCAAACACATTCAAATGGCAAGAATTATTTTAAGACAAAAAATTTGCTTAAATCACAGAATTGGTGTGCTGTAATTTATTCAATCTAAAAAAATATTAGTTTATGAGATTATACAGAACATGAGCCTCTACCACATCCATTCTGCTGTTTGCTTTATGGAAAACAGATGCTAAGAAAATACAAAGTTTGCCCCTTTGGTTAAAGGAGAGTCATGGTATGATAGGCTTTTATTCCATGAGTTATAATTTTCTTTTATTTTCTTCGTATAATTTTCTTTTTCCTTTTACAGAGATTGTACAAGGAAAACTATGAGAAGACAAAAGCAAGGAGCATGAACTACTGCGAGACCCCCAGATACCAACTTGACACTCTGCTGAAGAACTTCAGTGAGGTGTGAAAGACCACACCCACCCCTGGGGTTGCAAAGACTTTCCTACTGTTCGACAAGTAACTGTTCACTTCACTTATGTGTGTTTTCTTTCTCAGGCTAAATATAAGGATTCGTATGAAAAGAATATCTTGGGACATTATGTAGGCAGTTTTGAGGACCCGTATTACACACACTGCATGAAAGTTTCAGCTCAAAACAGCGACGTAAGTTTGAAGACAATGGTTCATGCCTCACAGTGACATTGTCTGGGAGCAGTGACAATCATGGTCTCTCTTTGTTTTTTTCTCATGACAGAAAAGTTACAAAGCAGAATATGAAGAAGATAAAGCGAAGTGCTATTTCCCTCAGACTATAACACAAGAATACGAAGCAATCAAGAAGCTAGACCAGTGTAAAGATGTAAGTCATGCTGCCCTGAATTCTTGAAATTGGGTTTGGGATTCTTGTGACATCTAGTGGTAAATTTAGCAGGAGTTTAAATGCTAACATCTAGTTGCCAGCAGGAGATATTCAATTTTAAATTTTGCGGGGGGGGGGGATAGAATTGAGAAACATGACAATTACTACAAAGAGATCTGTCTGTTGCAAAATAATTTCAGCTTTTATGAATCTTTATTCCCATTAGTTTGCATATACATGAACTTGGAGTAAAAGGAGGGCATGCAGGTTTGTGAGAGATGGGTGTCCTTCAACACATTTGCACGGGTGCTAGCACATGCCAGGCACTATCCTTGGCGCTGGGAAAGAATAGGGAGAAAGTGGGCTGCCTTGAACGGCTTCCACTGGAGTGGAAGAGACAAACAACACACCCAGAAAGAGAGCACAGAAACAAGAAAGATATCAGGCAATGATAAGAAAATGAATATAGGAGGAATTAAAACAGGACGATGTGAGAGAGAGTGACTGGATGGGCACTTCAGTTTGGGTGACCGGGGAAGGGCTAGGACGGGAATGTCCAGCCATTCCGGGTCAAGGAAAGGGCAGCAGGAAGAGCAGCCTAAGGTGAGAACAAGCTCAGCATTTAAGGAGTTGAAAGGATGAGGTGGCTGAAGTGTGTGGGGAGAGAGGGGAGTAGCAAGAGGTGGTAGGAGAGGAAGGAGGGTTGGTGTCTGCAGGGCTCATAAGCCGAGGTACAGTTCAGGCTGAATACCAAGTTCAGGGGAGAGCCATGGCAAGGCTTCAGCAGTGGAAGGTTAATCTGGTTGCTGAGTTGCAGCAGGCAGACCAGAGGCAACTTCAGGAGTGAGGAAGAGAAGGGGCTGGAGGAAAGAAAGGAAAGAAAGAGAGAGAGAAAGAAAGTGAGAATGTATCAACCAAGTTTTCAGGAACAAAACAAGCTATACTTTTGCCTGGAAACTTTTTGTATGTTAGTGTGTATATAAATAAGAATATAAAGATATAAAATACACCATAAAATTTCACTAAAGAGCATCTTCTTTTCTAGCATACCTACAAAGTTCATCCAGATAAGACCAAGTTCACGGCAGTCACTGATAGTCCTGTCCTGTTGCAAGCCCAGCTCAACACGAAACAGCTTAGTGATGTAAGTGCATTGATTTATGCAAATGTGGTGACCCACAGTGCTTTGCTTAATTTACATGCTTAATCTTCATGGACTCATCTACCATCCCAATAATGTCATTTTCCAAGACTCGTTTAATAAAATGCAAAGGAAGCTGCTAGGTTTGAATTGTAGCCTGATGAAAATAGTGTTAGACAATAATAAAAATAACGACTATTTCTTCAATAACTCATTGATTTTTAATGGGAATATCTCACTTATTCATTAGGATCTGTCACATGCACACTAAAACTTCATGCCAATTAAAATAAAGAGTGACAACAAAAGTATCCATTTGAGTAGGTAACAAGGCAAGCATTTCCCATTCTTCAGTTTGCCAACAAACACAAGAGCACAGGAACAAGAACGACATCAGACAATGATAAGAAAACGAATATAGAATGATGCTACAGAGTTAAAACGGGATGATGTCAGAGAGAGGGATTGCATGGGCATTAAATTGGGCGATCAAGGAAGCTCGAAGGCAGGGATGATACAACCATGCCAAGTTCAGGGGAAGGGCAGCAGTGCTTCTCAGACATCTGCATTCATGTGGTCACCTGCTGACCCTCTTAAAGTGCAGATTCTGAGTCAGTAGATCCGGAGGGGCCTCCATATTCTGACTTTCTAATAAGCTCCTACGTGGTGCTGCTGCTGTGATTAGTGGACCACGCTTTCAGTAGCAAGGCGCTAACACAGCTAAGTCCTGAAGTAGCACACCTTTCTCAGGATAGGGAAAATGAAAGATACAGTTTGTCCTACTATAAAATGTCTCTTAGTAACACAAATTAGCTTATATGTGATCAGTAAAGAGGGGAATGGCATCAGCATAACACAGAAGTCATATTAGTTCACATGCCATTTTCCTAGGATGTTAACATTTTGTGTCCCAGTGAAGAACAGCTAAACACTAACAACCTTGACCCAGCTGAATTCAGCAAGCTGCTGGACAACTAAAAATATATTGAAAAAATTGGCTGGGCATGGTGGCGCATGCCTGTAGTCCCAGCTACTCGGGAAGCTGAGGCAGCAGGATTGCTTGAGCCCAGGAGTTTGAGGTTGCTGTGAGCTAGGCTGACGCCACGGCACTCACTCAAGCCTGTAGCCTGGGCAACAAAGCGAGACTCTGTCTCAAAAAACAAAAAACAAAACAAATAGTAGCTCCTTATTCACAGTTTTGCTTTCTGCAGTGTCAGTTACTTGAGGTCAACCATGGTCTGAAAATATTGAATGGAAAATTCCAGAAAGAAACCATTCATAAGTTTTAAATTGTGTGCTGTTCTTAGTGGGATGAAATCTTACGCCATCCCCCTATTTCCCTTCTTTTATGAAAAGAAGAAGGGTGAGCACAGTGCAATAAGATATTTTGAGAGACACAGAGAGAGACCACATTCGCATAACCTTTATTATGGTAATCGTTCTATCTTATTATTAGATATTATTGTTAATCTCTTACTGTGCCTAATTTATAAATTAAACTTTCTCATAGGTACACATGTATAGAAAAAAACAGTAGATATAGGGTTCAATGCTACCCATGGCTTCAAGCATCCACCGGGGATTGTGGAATGTACCCCTGAGGATAAAGGGGCACTACTGTACCACAATCCCTAAAAAAGGGAGTGATATTTCTGATCCACTTTGACTGGATTGACTATCTCTGAGGCTTTTTTCTAAAAGAAACACTAATGCCTTAGTGATATACACTGTCCTACATTAATTCAAGGAAGTTCCTGCCCTGAACTGTTTGAATATCCTTCACTATTTTTCAGCTGAATTACAAAGCGAAACATGAAGGTGAGAAGTTCAAGTGCCATGTCCCGGCAGATGCTCCAGAGTTTATCCAACACAGAGTCAATGCTTATAATCTGAGTGACGTAAGTACCAAAGCCACAGGAGCCTATGTTTGGTGCGCATGAAAAGAGAAAATGTTCTCTGGGAGGCCGAGGCGGGTGGATCGTTTGAGCTCAGGAGTTCGAGACCAGCCTGAATAAGAGTGAGACCCCAATTCTGTGTCATTTTTCAAATGTGGACACACTTGGCTGTTCAGTATATAACCTGCTAGGATGTTAGCCTAACTGACACCTCAGATTCAGGATGACAATCAAACGTGAAATCTTTACTAGGTGGTAAAGGAAGGTGAACTCCTCATTCTGTTGATGTCTCTGTACTTTGAGATGCAGTGAATATGCAACAGTGGGCTTAGTCTCCTTAATGTCTTTTACTAGAAGAAAAAAAGTATTAGCAATATCATTTTCTTATTGTTTGTCCTAATGAGATCCATATCTCAGTATGTATAAGTATATGAATAGGTGCAAGTATGTATTCATTTAAGTCCTGAACTGGTGAGGTAGTTACAAAAACACATTCAGAAAATAAAAGTGGGAAGTGAGGAAACAGTTTAAAGACAATAATGTAGGAAAAACTGGATGAAGCATAAGCTCCAAAGTGAAATATTTATTTAAGAATCTTTAAAATATTGCTCTTATTTTAAAGACCTTAGACTATTTATTAAAAATAAAATAAACTCTTCACAGAATTGTTTTCTTAATTCCTAGCCCCCAAAGAAATACTCGCCTATCTGTCCATATATTTACAAGTATTCTTGTCTTTATTGAGTCCATTTTTGGATTTCTATATGAGAGAAGTAAAAAAGAAAGTGAAGAAATATATAATCATAAATGAAACAAAAACCTCTTCATGTATATAGTACTATAAGAAAATGTTAGCATTAATGATAAAAGCAACTTCCAGAGGTATTGTAAAATGTGTTTTCACCAAGTACTAAACTGAATACTTTTCTAGGACTATGCTAGGTGTTTAAGGTCACCTTACAGTTATGCTTCATTTTGCACCCAATTCATTTTCTTAAAAAAAAAAAATTCACTTTCCTTCAACATCAATGGCAAGAATTATTTTAAGACAAAAATTTGCTTAAATCACAGAATTGGTGTGCTGTAATTTATTCAATCTAAAAATATATGTTTATGAGATATACAGAACATGAGCCTCTACCACATCCATTCTGCTGTTTGCTTTATGGAAAACGGATGCTAAGAAAATACAAAGTTTGCCCCTTTGGTAAAGGAGAGTCATGGTAGATAGTTTTATTCATGAGTTATAATTTTCTTTATTTTCTTCGTATAATTTCTTTTCCCTTGACAGAGATGTACAAGGAAAACTATGAGAAACAAAAAAAGGAGCATGACTACTGCGAGACCCCAGATACAACTTGACACTCTGCTGAAGAACTTCAGTGAGGTGTGAAAGACACACCACCCCTGGGTGCAAACTTTCTACTGTTCCAAGAACTTTCACTTACTTATGTGTGTTTTCTTTCTCAGGCTAAATATAAGGATTCATATGAAAAATATCTTGGACATTATGTAGGCAGTTTGAGGCCCGTATTACACACACTGTAGAAAGTTTCAGCTCAAAACAGCGACGTAAGTTTGAAGACAAGGTTCATGCTCACAGTGACATTGTCTGGAGCAGTTGACAATCATGGTCTCTCTTTGTTTTGTTCTCATGACAGAAAGTTACAAGCAGAATATGCAGAAGATAAAGCGAAGTGCTATTTCCCTCAGACTATAACACAAGAATACGAAGCAATCAAGAAGCTAGACCAGTGTAAAGATGTAGTGCGCTGCCCTGAATTCTTGAATTGGTTTGGGATTCTTGTGACATCTAGTGGTAAATTTAGCAGGAGCTTAAATGCTAACATCTAGTTGCCAGCAGGAGATATTCAATTTAAATTTTGCGAGAGGGGTGGCATGGAATTGAGAAACATGACAATTACTACCAAAGAGATCGTCTGTTGCAAAATATTTCAGCTTTTATGAATCTTATTCCCATTAGTTTGCATATACATGAACTTGGAGTAAAAGGGACTGCAGGTTTGTGAGAGAGGGTGTCTTCAACACATTTGCACGGGTGCTAGCACACGCAGGCACTATCCTTGCACTGGAAAGAATAGGGAGTAAGTGGGCTGCCTTGAACGGCTTCACTGGAGTGGAAGAGACAAACAATAATCAGAAAAGAGCACAGAAACAAGAAGATATCAGGCAATGATAGAAAATGAATATAGGAGGAATAAAACAGACAAGTGAGAGAGTGACTGTGAGGCACCTCAGTTTGGTGACCAAGGAAGGGCTAGGACGGAATTCCAGCCTTCGGGTCAAGGAAAGGGCAGCAGAAGAGCAGCCTGAGGCGAGAACAAGCTCAGCATTTAAGGAGTGAAAGGATGAGGTGGCTGAAATGTGTGGGGAGTGGAATGTCTTTGCAGGTGATGTACAAGAAAGACTATGAGAAAAACAAAGGGAAGATGATTGGAGCCCTCAGCATTGAGGACGATCCCAAGATGCTGCACTCCTTGAAGACAGCCAAAAACCAGAGCGATGTGAGTGTCTCTGCAAATCTGTCTTGTTTTTGAGGTGTCTTCCCTGTTAACATGCCCAAGGGTAGGGTTGTGTAAAAGGATTTTCACACACATGGCTCTAGCTTATTCCCAAAAATCTTCTATCAAGAACTTTAGAATGGTGCCTCAGATTCTTGCACCTCTCACATTTAAGGAGAGAAATGACTGATTTGTAATTAATGTTCCATTTCACTTTGAAAAATGTATCCATCAATGTTTAACAGAATATTGCTTGTAGTTCTCAAAACCTTTTGGAAAACATCACCAGATGTTTTCATCTTTTCTTCTAATTGAAAAAATGTTTTGTAAATGATAATTTTAGAACTATACTTTGGAAGAAATTCGTGAGTCACAAATTTAAAAAATCTTAATATAGCTATTAATATCATTGCACTTTATTGACTTTAGTAATTAGTGTTGGTCTAGATCCTAGAAAAATACTCTATTGATTATAGGTCTGTTTGAGAATCTGATAAAAGAATTGAACTGTCTATCTAGAAAATAAACATTTTTTTTCATGCCTTTTGCCTGAATTTCAGGGAACTCATGGCTTCCCTAAGTCTTGTTTATGGGTCATGTATCATTTTCCAGTTAAAATTCTTATTACTGGCTGGGCACAGTGGCTCACACCTGTAATCCTAGCACTTTGGGATGTCGAAGCAGGAAGATTGCTTGAGCTCAGGAGTTTGAAACCAGCCTGAGCAAAAGCGAGACCCCCTCTCTCTAAAAATAGAAAAATTAGCCAGACATCCTGGTGCACACCTGTAATACCAGCTACTCAGGAGACTGAGGCAAGAGGATCCCTTGAGCTCAGGAGTTTGAGGTTGCTGTGAGCTATGATGATGCCACTGCACTCTAGCACAGGGTGATGGAGTGAGACTCTGTCTTTAAAAAAATAATTCTATTACAGAGAGGCAAACATTTACTATTGCAAATTACAGTATATTCTGTGTTTTAAAAAATGTTTAGAGAATCCCTTAAGAGTGGTAAGAATATTCAACATATCTTGCAGATATTAGTTCTTCATGATGAAAGAGAAGGGTGTTTGTATCATTTAATGTTAACCATGCATTTATATAATGATCTAACCTCTTTAACTCATTTTGCATTTACTTTCTAGTCACTCAGCACTTTAAAACATCCAATTCAGTAATTTTCTCTAGTAACTTCACACTGAATTATATCAATAGATAGCACTTATATATCACACAACCTATCAGAATTTATCACAGACCCCAACAGTAGGCACATAATTGTTCAACAAAAGTTTGTTAATTGATTGATGTTGGTGACCAAAAGAGGCAGTAAATGAATCATTCTCTTATAATATCCAGGCAAAAACACTAAGCTGCAGGTATAGAACATGTGTAGCTTTTTAAAAAGAATCTTTTAAAGCCATTTGGATGTTTGACAACATTTTATATATGTGCTGGGATGTGTGAGCTGGTGTGAACATAAACAAAAGAGTAAAAACAACTTTGTCAAAACCACTTCCACACACCAACTGCTATTGCAACATTGCTTTATCAATTTATTCCTAATAAAAACAAGTTTTTCAATGTTCCCTATCAGAAAGTTGGGAAAGTTCCCTATCAAACTTTTTTTTTTTTTTTTTTTTTTTTTTTGAGACAGAGTCTTGCTTTGTTGCCCAGGCTAGAGTGAGTGCCATGGCCATCAGCCTAGCTCACAGCAACCTCAAGCTCCTGGGCTCAGGTGATCCTCCTGCCTCAGCCTCCTGAGTAGCTGGGACTACAGGCATGCGCCACCAGGCCCGGCTAATTTTTTTTATATATTAGTTGGCCAATTAGTTTCTTTCTATTTATAGTAGAGACGGGGGTCTCGCTCTTGCTCAGGCTGGTTTCGAACTCCTGACCTTGAGCAATCCGCCCGCCTCGGCCTCCCAGAGAGCTAGGATTACAGGCGTGAGCCACCGCGCCCAGCCCCTATCAAACATTTTACTTTTATAAACCATAGTCTAGGCTTTATAATTAAGTGAAAACTGTATTCAGTGAAAGTGATTATTCACAAAATATAAGAAGAAAGATCAATTTCCCTATGAAAGCTGAAAGGTGGATCATACGCGAAAGGAATTGCTACAGAAGATTTGTAATGTATCTGTACTTGCTAACTCAGGTCCTGTCTTTAACATGTATGTATTATGGGGAGATAGGATGAGTTTAGAATTTTCTAAAGACAGTGGGTCAGGATGTTTCTGTCTGCTAAGGTAATTGGTGAGTGGAAATGATGAAGCTGGGAATTTCACCTAATTAGCACCTTGTCCAACCATTGCAGAAAACCAGCCAATGAAGGTATCTCTTGAGCCCAGTCAGGACATTTGGTTTATAGAACGCTGTGCATAAGGCAAGGTTACTTTAATGGCTTATTTTCACAAACTTTCCTCCTTTGAGGTCTTTTAACTGCTGCAATCTGAAGCCTCTTTTAAATTGTTAACAAATTAAACTTGATATGAAGAAAACCTTTGGGATTCTCAGTGGGCTTATCTACTGTCAAGAATAAATAGGTTGAAAAATCAGCAACTATCATTTTTAAATGATTCTATACAGCCAACAATTAAGTCTACAGCCCCTCTATATGCAGTAGTATTGTATAAAATCATATTGTCATGTGATTGGCATTCATTTTAAAAAAATGCTTCTTTATTAAAAAACTCTTCAAAGATTAGGTTACATTAATAGAAATAACACTGTTAGTGGTCCTTGAGAAATACTGTTTTGTAAAAAATTCTCAGTGGAAGCAGAATCTGTAGCCCATTCTCATGTCTGCTGTGAGTCTCTGACAGTTGCTTTTTGATTTGGGAAGATCTACGTGTGATTTCTGAGGATGGAGGTGGGGAGTTCAATCTGTGTAACCTTCGAACAAATTTGGGGCAAAATACTAATCACATGTTTGGATCTGTTTCCATGACTTGTATTTATTGTTTATGAGAGATCTCTATGCTTTTCTGGAAATTCATGGTGGGAGAATTTGTGGTAATAAATGCTAATTCCTACTCACAGCGTGAATATCGAAAGACTATGAAAGTCCAAAACTGTCTACACGGCACCTCTTGATATGCTCCAAGTCACTCAGGCTAAGAAATCTCAGGCGATTGCCAGCGATGTGGACTATAAGAACATCTTACACAGTTACAGCTAACCCCGGATAGCATCAACGTGGACCTCGCCAGAAGGCTTATGCACTGCAGAGTGACGTGAGTGACCAGGTTTTCTCGAGTCCCTCTTCGAAGGTGGAACTGAAAAAGGATTTCTAAATTGAGTGGGGTCTCGGCGCTTCTCAGAGGTGTCTGCATTGTCCTCTGTATGTAAGCAAGTGTGTGATGGGAAAATGAGCCTTGTTCTGTAAGACTTCAGGTGTAGTGAGACCTGGGTCTGGCGTGCACTCCATTACTATTCCTGTGGAAAAGTTACCAACCTTGCACAGTCTGAGTCCTCCTCTGTAAATGGACATAAAACAAAAATATTGTTTGGAGGATTAATGCATGGAAAATACTTAGCGTGGTGCGGCCCTGGTGAGTGCTCAATAAACATTCACTATTATCATCATCACCATTATTATAATCATCACATTCATCATTATCGATGATTTTACTTAGGTAGCTATTTTGTCTAAAAAAGAAATATATCATTTACAACATCAGTTTTTATAATAACTGGGTTTTTTCTTCCCGCAGATCAAAATCTTTTAGGCAAATTAATTTGTCTGAGCTACCCAACTCAATACTTTATCCTAACAATTCTATTATTTTGAATGTGGTGAAATACACATAACAAATTTACCATCTTTACCATTTTTGAAGTACAGTTCAAGCGTGTTATGTATATATACATTATTGTTCAGCCTATCTCCAGAACTTTTCGTCATCCAAACTGAAACTCTATATTCATTAAATGACAACTCCCATTTTCCTTCTTCCCTAGCATGTGGCAACTGCCACTCTACTTTTGTTTCTATGAGTTTCACTTGTTTATATACATATATGTGAAATCATGCAATATTTGTCATCTTGTGACTGGCTTATTTCACTTAGCATGATGTCCTCAAGTTTCATCCATGTTGCAGCATGTGTCAGAATTTCCCTTCTTTTTAAAGGCTGAATAATCATTCCTTTGTATGTATATGCACCACATTTTGTTTATCCATTCACTGTTGGTGACATTTGAGTTGCTTCAGCCTTTTAGCTATTTTGAACAAGTGGTGCTATGAACTTGGTATAAATGTCTCTTTGAGATCCTGCTTTTGGGTGTATACCCAGAAGTTGAATGTTGGATCACATGGTATTTCTATTTGTAATTTTTTGAGGGACCACCCATACTGTCTTCCATACTGGCTACACAATTTCACATTCCACACTAACAATTTTATTTATGCATTGTTATCCTACTTGTTATTTGTTTAATTTTGCTGGTTTCTTCACCCCAATAGACTGTGAGCCTCTCAAGGGCAGGATCCAATTCTTTCTTGATTTTTCATTCTAGTTAAAAGGCCACACTAAGAACAACAATTTGAATTTTGTATCTTAGGGCATAAGTATAGTATCATCTGTGTTAGACAGTAAGAGAAGTCTATTATTTTAATATCATTGAGTAACTGTCCCTCGCATAGGAACGATTCCAAATAGTAACTGCTCCCTTAAGCAAATTAAGGAGTGCAACTATTTTAAAGTGTTTTATCAGGCAACGTAGAGACACTCCAAAGTTGACTAGTACACAGGAAGGCCATGTGTGCAAACATTTAGTATAAATATTAGTATCAGTTTGTAATAAAAAAATGGCAAAATTATCTCCCTTCCATGTAGCCCTGTAGTTCTAACTTGACCATAGAAACGTAATAGTTAGAGTTCCAGGGAGCAAACACTCACATTTGATGATCTAAATAGAACAATTTCCTTTATTCTTTGAAATGCAGCTTTGAATGAGCATTTTCCAGATTGGAATTAGAGGTCCACGTACTTCCATTAAGTTGGAAATAAGGATGAAATGAAATACATGCCAGTTATAAGAAAAGCAAAATCCTAAGGGCTGTTGAGATCTATCACCACAGAAATGTATAAAACAAGCTTAATGTCTGGGAGTTGGTCAGAAATCCCAAAAACATCATTTGGTAAAATGGTAGTGATTTGTGTAATAAGGATGACACTGAGCGAGAAATGTAACCTTCCTCTTGGTGTTTTAGGTTGACTACAAAGCGACTACAACAGCTGGATGAAAGGCTGTGGCTGGGTGCCTTTCGGGTCCTTAGAGATGGAGAAGGTGAAGCGGCCTCAGACATCCTTAATGAGGTAGAGCCACCGGGTGTGTCCGAGGAGAGTTGTAAATATGTTGTGTTAAAACCCTCAAAGTCAATGGAAGTGCCTCCTTTTTTTTTTTATTTCAAATTTTACGGTTTAAGTTTAGGTTACATATATTAAATTTAGGTTACATATATTCATTGCCTTGCACCACCCAAGTCAGAGCTACAAGCGTGTCCATCCCCATTAATGGGTGCACTGCACCCATTAAGTGTGCATTTGCCCATCCCCTCCTCTCCCACTCCAAACCTGCTCAACACCAGTGCCTCCTTGACTGGTCCGTTCTCTAGTCTTTTGCTGAGGAAAAGAACTTACATGCACGAATTATCCAGTAGACAAGTACAAACCATTATATTACCAAATCATTTATGTTAGCCATTCACGCCAGAATATTTTAACAACTTTATCGAGGTCCAATTTGCATACCAATAAAATTCACCTGTGTTACCTTGACAGTTTAATAAATCTCTTATCATTGTGAGTGATCGCTGCAATTGGTATTTAAAAATTTGAGCTGCTAGCACCTCGAAAAGTTTCCTCAAAAATCCCTGCTCTCCACTTTCAGGCCCAGCAACCACTGATTTGCATTCTGTATCTAAAGATTTACCTTTTCTAGAAATTCTTTTGTATCTGGCTCTCTCACTTGGCATAATGTTTCAGAGGCTCATCCACATTTCTGCATGTGCTTGTATAATCATTCCTTTTTATTACTGAGTAGTCATTCTTTGTGTGGATATACACGTTACCACATTTTTATTACTCTTTGCCAGTTGGTAGACATGTGATGTTTCCAATTGGGTGATTTGAATAATTCAGCTGTTATAGAAATCTTCTTGAAGAATTATACCCCCTTCATATTCTGGATGACTTTGAAGTAGTATATAATTATCATCCAGTCTAAGAGAAAGCAGTGATGATCTTGAGACTCGTAAAGCAGCAAGGTTATCTGTCCCTCCTCTGTCAACAGCTGAAATTCCTCGCTGTTGCCAGGAAATACATCATCAAGGAGGACAGACTATATAGAAAGGACAGAGGAACTAATGAAGGTTGTCTCCTGCATTCAAGATTTTGTTCGTTCTGTTGCTGCTTTTGTTTGTTTTTTTGGTGAAAACTTTTGTCTGCTGAGAGGTCTTCAGAAAACGTTCTTTTGGGTTTGGTGGTTTCAGAAGTCTGAAGTTGAAAGAGCAACGTTATGCTAATGCAGAAGAGATAATAAGCACAAAGGAAGAGGGCTGGGAAATAAACAGAGGAGAATATAGGGACAAGGGCAGCTGGCAGGTGCCAGCTCCCAGTTGAACACCTCCCAGGTCCACTCCTCTGTGCCTCTTCAGTGCGTTAGTGATACCTGCAATGACCAACATTAGTTCAAAAGCCAATGTCCTGCCTGTCTTATTAATAATCCCTAGCTGTTGCCCTACTTGCTCAATTCCTCCTCGCTCACTGTGGAGCTCCTTTATGCCAGTTGTTGATGAAGTACAGGAAAATGACATTCCTGAAACGTGTTGTGTCATGCAAGGACACTCCAAATCTCCTTCTTGCTTTTCTTTTAAGCCTTTGGAAACTCTGTGATGTTTCTGGATTCTGCTTAGCTGAGAGTACCTTCTTTGTGTCATAGGCAAAATTGAGAGGAGTCGTCTGATTACTGCAAACTGTGGTGTGCTGTACTGTTCCAACCCATCCAAATTAAACTGATTTTTAATTCATCTTGTATTGTATTAATCAAACCATCAAGAATCCGGTACTTTCACATTTAAAATCAGGAAAATCCTCCTTGTCCCTCTAAAAAATTCAAGGATTTTGAATGTTAACTTTGGTGAAAAAATATGATTGTTTTTTCTCTTGTTGATTCGCCAAACAGAAAAAATATCGCCAACATCCAGATACCTCAAGTTTACCTCCAATTGAAGACGCTGCCAATTATAGTGCAGTCTAAAAATAACCAGGCCCAGAGAGCGATGTAAGTGTTAATCCTATTTTATTTTAATAAGCGTTAACTATATTATACAAATAAATTTGTATCTCAAGTGTACTGATCACCTGCCAGTTATGTAATCCAAAGAACTTCAA